TATTTGTATATTTTTGTATGCAGATACCAAACAAACAATAAATACAAGTTGGTGAAAATATTTCAGCAGGAAAGGGCTCAGCAAATTACCTGTTTCTCTGCCATCAACGGATTTCACTCCTGTATCCTTTATTAATGTGAAAACTTCAGTAAAAACCCCTAAGAAATTCCATTCGCGAGTCGAAAGAGCTCTTTCACTCGTTAGTGAACGACACTTAGAGAGCACGCGTCATTCAAGCACGACTTGACCACACTAGATCGTTGTTGTGGCCTTTTATTTCTTCAGCTGGGTTTCACCTTTTATCTCTTTTCTTTATCCAAAATAAAACAGCAGCATGAAAAATTCACTTTCTGTATCGCTCAATTCTTACACAAGGAACTATTTGATTCTTTTTTGTTTTTGCTTTTCTTTACTTCTTATTCAAAATCTTAAGCAAATTGAAGCAAAGCCGCTCCAGTTAATGGTTTCCTTGACATACGCTCCAGACATAGTGTTATGCTGTGGTTCCAATAAGTCAATCCAGGTCTTTGATATGAACGCGGCTCGTACAGTCCGAGTGATCCTGGATTCCCACACTCGCCCCGCACACACCATATGTCAAAATGAGGTAGGTTGCTCTGAAAATGTTTGTTCTCCTTCCCAATTCAAGCCACAAATAGTTAAAATTGGGAGTAGTAGTTTGCTAGGTTTAGAGAGTGCGCTTTAGACTTCATGTACAATCTAACAGCGTGTCAAAATATAACCTTCCCTCCCTCCCCCCCCCCCCCCAGTTGAAATGTCGAGAGCCCTCAGATGTCACTATCATCTTTCAATGGTCCAAATATTTCCAAACAATCGCCGTGTAAATCCCAGAACGGTTTTATACTCGAGAATCTCGCAGTCCTTAACAAAAACTCACTGACTTTTTATGCCTGTGTATATTACATAAGTTGCTCAGTTTATTTTATCTCTGTTCCCTTTTTTATGTGGATTTGATTCTAGGGTTCAATGTTTGTTTCACACCCTCCAAACGCGTACGACCTCTTCTTAACAGCTGCGGTTACTGATGGAATAAAATTATGGGACTTACGCACCAACAGGTGCATTCGCCGGTATGATGGTCACGTGAACAGATCGCAGCCAATCGGGGTGGCTATCAGTCCGTGCGCAAGATTCATTGCAACTGGTTCTGAGGACAGATCGGTATGAATCTGCGAATTTTTTTATTCTTAAAAAAAAAATATATATATATATAGAGTGCATTACTGAGGCATCTTAGTCAGGTTCGCCATAGCGACCAGGGCCGGGTTGTTCAAAGCTGGGTTAAGATAACCCAGGGTTAGTGTAAAATTTTATTTAAGATCTGAAAGCTTGAAAAAAAAAATTCAGCTTAAATCTTTTTGTCCTCAATTTGTTGATTGAATGCTCTAAAGATAAATGAAGAAAATTGTCCTCAAACAGCTTTTGAACAGAGAAGCACAGAAACCTAGATTAAAATTTAACAGTGGGTTAGCGCTAATCGGCCTTCGAAGAACTGGGCCCAGAGAGTTACTCCTTCTCCCTGATCAGTTACTTAGTCCACTTCGGGTAAGCTTTTTTAACGTGCCAGTTATATTCCATAATTGTGTGCTTGAACCCATTTATACTTCCAAGTATAGAGAGGCACTGTCGTGCATAAGACCCAAATACACTTTCACTCGGCCAAGACTGGAACCCAAACCTCTCTATCCAGTGTCTAGCGCGGTAAATAGAAGGAGCCGCCCATCTCTAAAATGCGCCTAACAAACTCGCCCATTAGCATGCTTAAGTCACATGAAAAGAAAAATTCGAAAAATATTTCACGCTTAGCTTGACAAATACTTTATTTTATTGTTGGAGCATGGTACTCAAGGTTTGTTAGGGTATATCGTAGTTGTTTTTTTTTTATTGTATTTTTTTTTCAGCTTTGTTGTCGTTATTATTTTTCTTTGTTTTTTCCCTTTGAAAGAGAACGAAGAAATATCAACGCAAAATTTATTTTCGAAGTAAACGTCTCAAGTTAAATAAAAATTGAAAAAAAAGGCAAAGTCACAATTGATTTAGAGTACCTAGCAAAAATCAGCCGGCCAGTAGATACAGCCAAGAAAATTACAAAATATCTAAGGGAAACTATATTACCGCGTAATGTTATGGTAATCGTATACCGTCGAGCTTTTCATGTCGCGTGCTTCAGCTTAAGGGCACGTGAATCCCTCAAGATACCCTTGTAGTAATTACGTATGTCGGAAATGTTGTTTATGCGTGAAAATATCGTAAAACAACACTACATATACATGTAGGGCTGTTTATCAGTAGAAACACTTCCGTAATATTCAATGAACACAAAGCTGACCAGTATGCAGTACGATTGTGTACCTTAAACCCTTTGTTTTTCAACATTTTGAGCTCGGTATGAATTGAAATAAAAAGTGTTTTGCTTTTATATACCTGAGAGATACACGCATGTCGCCAAAAGCATGATTTTATGTACTTGACTTATCGTCTGCCTAACACATACATCTTCAAATGTAACTACTTAGACGTAAATAGCTCTTAGATCTGTTTTGAAGATTTCTTTTTGGGAGCGTTAGAAACGTCAATGAAATCAAATCATATGTTTGCGAAATGAGGGGTATTTTGTCTGTCAGTGCAACTAAAAATGGCTTTCTTTTAGAAATTTTGCCACTGGATTATTATGTCTGTAATTGTCCGCGAGGGAAATCGTTGTTATTTTCAAAGTTGTGAAATACCAAACATGATTTATAGTCGGCAGAATTGCGTGGGAAGAAGGCGACGCCCAATATTACAAGCCTCTCCCATCCTGTTGCTTCTTGTTTCATCAATAAACGCCTGTGTTCAGCGGAGGAATGAATAAGTAAGTCATCCGAGTGGGCGTTGTTTTTTTCTCTCCAGCTGTTTGTAGATGAAACCTATCTTCTTGGACGAGTTTCTTCGCAAATATCAATGTTGACTGATGTACATAGATACGGAATGAAAATGATCAGTTACATCGAGCAATGTGCGACTTAGTCTACGAGTCGAAAAAATAAAGGTTCATTAAGAATTAAAGAGAAATGCAACTTCTGCATTTTTAGTTGAAATCATTTTACTAAAATTCGTTTTTTTGTGGTTGTCAAATTTTGGTTTCTGAGTTCACATGTTTTTTTGTAATATAAGCTAATCTGTAGTTTTATCAAAACTTAGCGTGGGACTTTGTACTTTAAACGGATGTTCTTGAAACTCACTCCAGTGTGACTCCAGGAAAATAAAATAGCAATATCCCAATTTCAGAATGTCTAGGAGTTAAGATTCTAATCTCGTGGTAATATTAGCTTGTCTGTGGTTAAAACCCAGGATTGAGATCATGTAAACGAAAGCTCTGGGAAATTACTTTCATGTGACCCTAAAACAAGAAAAATATTTTTTTCTTTGTCCCACAATCGTGACAAGACGAAAAAAAAACATCTTTCTCTATTTCTTTACCGAACTCAAAACTTACTATCTCTCTTATTTCTACTTACAAACATTACGCTATCGACATTGCTGATCCTAGCAGTATGCAGGGCGCGTGTCCTATGAACTTCGTAAAAGAACTCGCTTACCGTGGAGTCTCAGTGGTAGAGCATCAGAGCGCGGAATCCGAAGGGCTGAGGTTCGATTCCTCATGAGGACTCAGAATCTTTTCTTTGTCCCACGCTCGTGACAAGACGAAGAAAAAAACATCTTTCACTTAGAAAAAAGTTTTCGAATTCCCGGAATTTATGGTCACATTCATCTTTTTTTATGATAAGGGCCTTAGTTGAACTCCAACTTTTCATAAGTATCGACGTATATTCGTAAACTAAAGAAAACATGTACAATATTTTTTTCGTTTTCAGGCCTACCTTTACGACATTCGAGGAAATACATTTTGTCATCGGCTCACTGGTCACACAGACGTGGTATCTGAAGTAGCCTTTCATCCTGCACAACCTCAGGTGTTAAAGGAGCCCTGTACATTAAGATATACGATTGACACTTTTTGTATGTCTGACATAGCAGTGAGCCTTCATTACGCATTTGGCTATTGAATGAGGGCGAAGCGAACTTTTAGAAGCGAACTCTTTGAAGCAAACTTTATCTGATAAAAGCTGTTGTAATTTTTATTTCCTATTAAGTTTAGATTGCATCCGATTTCGATTTTTTTGTAGCAGGGTCAGTTTTAGAGAACTTTCGGAGACGTCAAATAACCGAAAAATAATAACAAAATTTCAAACAAAGGTATTTCCTGTTTTTAGTTCGGAATCAATTACCAGCCAATACCGCTCCTCTTAAAAACCGAGTGAAGGAGGTGAAGAAATAAAATCAGTCAAAACTTCAACCCACATTTCGTTCTGCTGGCTGCGTCAACCCCATCACTGATTAATCCGGTGATTTTGGAAACTAGAACATACAAGTAATTTTGCTTTCAATGTCTGCAGCCCTACATATAAGTCAGAGTTAACCCAGCGTAAGACAAGGTCGTGTATAAGCAGGCGGTACATATATTAACTCAAGTATTTTTCCCTTTTCATCACAGCTTGTAACGGCTTCTCAGGACGGACGATTACGGTTTTTCTCCGATCACGGTTAACAGGTTTGAGGTAAGATGGCGATGTTTAAGTGTAACGAGCATTTTTCCTTTTTTTTCTTTTTGTTATTAACGAAATGTTTAATTGGTAAAAAGATTGGGATTTCTTTGGAAAAAGAAGATCAAATCTGAGTTTTGATTCGCCTACATGTTTTGATGTCGTCATGTTAAAGCCTTTTTTCAAGATGGGTGTCAACAGTCCGTTAGGTTTGAAAACTACTTTCTGAGGAAAAAGAGATTTTGTTTGAAAACAGTCTTGCTATTAACCTTAGCTCACATTGAATCGATTTAAAAAACCTATGAAATAAAATAACGTAATTTTTGTGGCAAGTTTTATAACTTGTCGAGTTACAGCAGACTGTGCATGGTAGAGAAATTTTTCTTAAGATTATTTTATGTTACACAACACTAAAGTGATGTTATTGTACTAAGGGTAGTAATTTTTGGGCCATCTTATATTCGCGTAGTAATTTTTCTGCGAAAACTTATGTCCGCGATCGAGGACAGTCCGCCAAATGCACGGAAATTTGATCATGCAGAATTTTCATGCAACTCGTAATGTAGTGTTGGAGGAAGCTCGTGGTACGTAGTCATAATGTTCCCCAAGTCAAAGTGAACAGACGTGCACAACCCCGCTTCTTGAGATCGGCAACTGTTTGTTTGCTTTGTTAGATGTCACGTCTCCTAAAGTTTATCATCTAACTCTGATTTGTCTCTAACTCAAATATAATACATATGGAAAAGAGGACTGTTTAATTTTGTTGTTGTACCACCTGAAGACCATTGCCACATGGTTCAAGTAGGCTGAATGTGAATGCCCACGTTCCAACGTAACGGAACTTGTGGGCTGTTCAATCGCCGTCGTCCAACTCACCCTACAACTCTAACCTCCGCGGGTTTGTTTTCGATTAATTTTAAACGTATAAGAATTGCATGGTTTAATATCGCACTGTACAAAATTTCACGGTCAAATTTAGTAATCTGTGAAATGTTTCTGAGCCTTAAGCAATATTTGCTAGTCTTTCAAATCGATCTGAGAAGCCACAACTCTTCTTGAGGCTTGATTTCCGTTTGTGGAACTTCGTTTGATTTTCTCTTATCCCCTTTCCTGTTTTTTTTTCCTGTACTATTTCATTAATACTAGTCGTAACGGTGAGGGTCTTAAAACTTTCCTCAATCTTTATTTGTCCCGGATTGTTTTTCTACAAATCTTCATTCCGAAAGCGAAAGTGTGATTTGTACTATAGGAGGAAGTTGAAATTGTTGTTTACATGACATTCCCCCAAATATGGAATACCTGTGAATGATACCTGTCATTGATGCCCAAAAAAGGTGTGTGACGTCAGCCGTCTCGATGCTTGAACTTGGGGAAGGCAGGGAAAAAAGTCAAGCAATACTGACCGGCCGATGTTTCTCTCGTGAATACCGTTTTATCCTCTTTTATTGTTTGTAAAAGACAGTGCTTGAGCCGTTTCAAAATTTTCCCGCGTACTTTTATACTGGCGTGACACTCTGCATAACAGTATCTGCAAGAATACGGACTAAAATCTGCGAAATCCCCGTTGACAGTCGGTAAGTTGTCAACTGATTAGAGCACTACTTCATCTACCTGCTAAACTTCGACAATGTTGCCACCTCGGACTTCCACGATTGAGTTTCCCGACTTTTTAAGAAGCGAACTATCTGGCGGACACTCGCGGCAATTCGTATTTCGTCCATGCCTTTGTCAGTCGGTTTTGAATTTCTCAACTTTGATTAGGAACGGATTTATGCAAGACTAGCGGGTTTTTTGTGTGTACGACTGCGCTTTAAGGTTTACGGTATTGCAGCCTTACGAGAATGTCAAACGATGCAATAGTTCATTCACCCCGTGTTAAATGTTTCTCACCTGAATCATTTTTCTCCTCTTTTAGGATGATAACAGAACGTGCACACGGAGTTAAACGCAAGCTTACTGAAATTGATGGCGATCATGAGGTGCATGGCCGCTGTCTTCAACGACAAACAGTGTTCAATATTTCGATCTGCAAACTGCAGAAAAGCTTTACACGGCCAGAGCCCGTCCTCTTTAAAACCGTGCTCATCTCCAATACGCTTCGTCTCATCGAAGAAGACATTAGAGAAGAACGGAGGAGTTTAGAAAAAAATGATTTGAACGGACCTAGCGACGAGGAAACATTCGCCAGAGTAGTCAACATGCACGAACCAACGAATCGCTCCGGTCTTAACATCGGCACGCGATCACGCGACGCTTGTGAAACTTCAAAAAGTTCTCTAACTTTTGAACAAGAACTGAATATTCTGGGCGACAAAATGGTGAAAGAACTTGAGCTTGACATGGAAAAGTCTAAGCTACTCGAAGTGTCCGCCAAAGAAAAATCAGAACTACTCACTCAAAGCCCTTTAACGCGCTCTGCTGCCGATTCGAACAACAATAACCCGGAGTTCGAAGAACGTGAAAGAGCGGTCTCCAACTCGGATGAAATCATTCGAGAATTCACTTGCGGCAGTCTATTGGGATTGGAATTAACCGAAGAACTGGAGTTTAAAGACGTAGATGTTTCGCTCTACGACTTCGACGTTCCAAACGGATCGTTTCCGATAGATTTTGACGAGTTTTGCAGCGTGTGGAATCTTGGATCAACCAGTGTAGCAGCGCGGAGTTTGCCCAGCAGATGTAGTGACAGCGTAAAGCTTGAGCGAGCAAACGAACATAATTTTGACGATCTCGACCAAGTTATGCAAATTTTAGTGGGATCTTAGGTAGCTGTAATTTTTACAGGACCCTAAATGCGAATGTCGTTTATTTGAATTCGTTGCAAATTTAAGTCAAATGAGTAGAATCTATTCAGAGAAAAAGAGAGTTAAGAAATTTTAACATAGTTGTATCAGTTTTAGCATGTGGGTATAAGGCTATTTATAGTCGGCGCTGCCGATAGAATCCACAACTTTTTATATGCGATGCAAATAAATATTTTATGTGAATTTGGAGATGTATTTGAAGTGGTAAGAAGAGAGTATTTTTTCAGCATATTTGTAGGTAATTTATACTGTATTATATGACATGAAATATGAACTTTTTAACTCGCCAAGCTTTGTAAGTTTTGCAAGCATGCAGCTAATTAATTACTTGTTGTCCATACGGATCAAGCTATCCAGCTAGTTAGAGAATATTTTATGAACTGGATAGTATGGAAGTAGCATGCCAGACCTCTCAATGAATGTAGTAAATTATGAGACCTTTTCATCTTCTTGATGTTCTGTTAATTTATGATTCTTGCATAAGACAATTGCTAGGAAAATGGCTGAAATGACTTTGAACTAGACTAGTTTGTTATAATAATTTTATTCAACGCATTGGTTTAATTCATTTTAATGAATAGGAAATTGCTCAATAAATTATCACTTGTTGAACAGCTGTGGCTTTGATGGCTACTGGTTGCATATGTCAAAAAAATCATTCTTGTGTAATATAAACTCCATGAATGAAGAGGGTAAACATTTACATGGCTAAAGAATGGATGAACAGTGCACATGATTTTTGAAAATAAATTATGAGGTTTCCTTGGAACCATGGTCACCTGTCCAGTGTCAAGTCTTCAAAAGGTGGACTTAAGGTTGGTGTCTAAATTGAATTAATGATGTTTCCTTGGAATCATGGTCACTTGTATTGCGTCAAGTCTTCAAAAGGTAGACTTGAGATTGGTGTGTTATAGTCAACTGCTCTTGGTGCACTTGAGGCAACTCCCCTTAAACCAGAGTTTATTGTTATCGCCACAGAGATTCATGTTCTACTAAACCCAGTGACAACGACAATTGTGGTGTTGCAAGATCTAACCAGGTTGATATGCAAAGAGTGGATTAAATTTAATCACCAGTTTTCATTCACCTCACCTAAAAGTAGTGTTCCACTTCTAAAAATTATTCCTTTGGATAAATCATAAACTAGGATGTTTCCCATGAGTCTGCCACTGATTACTAGCACCAAAATTTAGAGTTATTTCAGCATATAGTAGTTCCACTTGATGGTTTGCACGAGGCTTGCACAGAGAAAAACTGTGCATCTCACCCTCCCAACTAAGAAATGTCTGACACATCAACTATACCATATTGTCTTTCTCCTAAGGGAGAAAATGTATTTCTCATTATGCAAAGTAGTGCAATCTAAGGGATGAAATCTGGAGAAAGACAGGGAGAAAAAAAAGATGTCCAGTAATTGTTGAGGACTCTCTGCTCTTGTTTACAAACAAGTGCTATTTCCTAGACTTAATCCTCAGTTAAAAGGAGTCTGCTCAAGCACCTCAAATAACCTTGGCCAAGGCAGAAGAAATTGTTTGTTCTTTGACACAAATGCAAAGGTGACTGTCATGGTAAAATAACATATTTTTGTAAACTCAGTTCTGTCAAGATTAGGGAGATGTTAACCTGTGTGGACCAGGACCCTTTCCACCCTAACATCAGTATGAATATTCTCCACACAGTTCCCTATACATTCCTTAGGGTGCTGATGAGAATTTGCTTTAAAATCCAGAGCTTTTCTAGTTGGTGACCATTTCCTTTATTCTCATTACCTGAATGTTTAATTCAGAGGTGATAGTGTAAGGAGAAATTAGATGCTAATCACTCTAAGGGGTTAAAGGGTGAATGTTAGTTTCCTGTAATTAATCTAAACATTTCATCTTTTGAACCAGCTGGTTGCTAAATTGAAAACAATCATGACTTGGCCACTTACAATTTCCCATGCTTGGGCTAGTGTTCACTATTTCATTCCCAAAGTCCTCATCAGGTATTTTACATAGTCTGTTCTTGTTTGTGGTGGTGAGTAACAGGGTTCGGTTTGAAAAATCTCAATTGCCCAATCAAAAGGGCTCCTGGTTGAAATACATCTACATACGTGTATCTTTTTGTTCTGCATGGAACATAACATATTCATACCAAGGTTACCTCTAAAGTGAACACAATAAAAATATCCTCTTATGAAATGTGATGTTTTATTGAATTCACAGTTTTCATAAGGTAGATTTTTTAATGAAAAAATTTATGTATGAAGGGGTAGAAATGTTTAAAATAGTTTAATATACAAAGAGCTGAACCATCTAGCACCTTACACATCATCAAAAATGAACTTACATGGAAGCACTTTAATTAAACACTGACAAATTTAGTAATGAGAATATGCTGGTAATTAAATTATCAGAATATAAAATTTATGTAATGATTAATACTGTGGAGGTAGAAATTTAACAAAATAATATAGTACTGAGTGAACTAAATTTTCTGACTTTCATTCAATTCTATTAATAAAATGAGAACACAGAGGTTGAGGCTACATGATGAAACAGAAAATATAGATTGAAATTCAACTGTTGAATTCGAGGAATATCACCTTTTGTGTCCTCAGAGTTATCATTTGTTATTAATTCTCAAGAGATCTAAAAAATGACTGAGGGAAATTAAACAGTCTGCAAAATGTACCTTAACCTGTACAACTCTCACGTGATAAAAAAAGGAATAGATAAATTATTCTTAAAGGGCAATATGGTATTAGATGGACCAAAACTTAAGTACTCCAGCATTAAAGCCAAAAATCACAAAACTTTTTTTATAGACACACTTTTCAATGAAAATAAAATTTCTCCAAACTAAAGTAAAGAAACATAATGTTTCAAGTACAAGGAAGACAATATTTTTGCCCAAAACTTTTTCAGCAACATTATAACATACCGCTACTAACCAAAATAGGAAGCTGTGATTTTAACTCTCAGCCAAAAAAAAAAGACAATTATTTCCATGGTCCTTTCCTAGAAAAATTGTTTAAGTATTGTAAAACAACAGAATCTGTTGTTAAAAAAATGTTGGATCTCATGTTTTTCCACCCCAGAAACTATGCACTTAATTATACTTTCCCAACAATCCTATGGTCTATTTTGCACTTACACCATGTATAGGAAGTGAAGTATATAGAAAAAATGTTTTCTTTAGCATAAAACAAACTCTGAAACATGTTACATGGGAATAAATATATATTTTTTTAAAATAAAGAGTTTTTCCCAACAATTCACCACTGATAATATCAAACAAGAAAATAATTAAGTTAGCTAAATGCTGCTCTGATATTTCTTATACATTTCTCTATCTTTCACTTGCATTGCAATGTGACAGATATATCACTCATAACTTAGCTTTTTAGGAGGATCTAAACATGATTATAAATTACTATATTAAATGCATCTAAATATGATCAATTAAGTTGTTAGATTCCCATAAACCAGCCCTAACAAATACTTTGTGTCAAACAATACACTTTGAAAGTTCAGAACTCTACAATACACAAAACATGTATACAAATGTAAATGTACACCTTTCAGTCACACTAAGATGCTATGCACTTTTATATTACCTCTTTCAGTAACTCTACAAGATATAATAGCCATTTTTCCTCTGACTCTTAAATACACTTCTATAGGGTAATCTCAAATTTGGTTATCCTGTATGTTGCAATTCATTGCTGTATGACAGCAAACCTAGAGAGTGTAGTAGTTAAAGTTGTTGTAAACAGTTCTTACAACCAATTTGGAAACTTAAACAAAAAAAAAAAAAAAAAGAATTGTTTTGATTGAGGTCCACGTAACCATATTGCTACCTCAAGTTTGTCTTTCCAAGTAAAGCATGTATTTGTTCTTTGACCAAAAATTAAATCCATAATTTTCAACCATCAGACCAATAAAAACCAAGTAAAAACACCCTTCCATTTTATCAGATACCACAACACTGTCTCACACATTTACTACTAAATAGCTATACACCCATTTTCAAGAATGTTGGAATTTGAAAAAATGTAAGAAATATAAACACCTTTTATTTCCTCATCAAAAAGGTATGAAGAAAACAAAAGGTATATTTGTTGTGTATATTTTCAAATTACACTAGTTTTGAAAACAGGTGTATATTTATATATTGGCATTCAAAGATGTTGTTTTTATACATCATCATTAGTTCAATTTTAGATGTCCAATTGTATTGCTATCTTAAGTTTCACAGTTAATATTCACAAAAATAGCAATATTAAGCTTTGGATGAGGTATGTACTCAGCATGTCTTCAATTTTACATCTGAAAGTTCTGAGCAAATTATGAGACTAAGTGTCAATATATTCAGATGAGTTTTTAAACCACATGTGACAGAAGAAACAAACATAATAACACTGCTATTGATATCATTCCAAGGAAACAATGTCGTGATAAATAAAGCCACTTTCAGTAACAATTCCTCCGAAAAAGTCTAGACATTTTAGGTGTGATGTAAAATCGAGTGTGGATTTTATCACTGCAGAGAAGACTCTGTCCATAGCTACATGTGTGTGTAGCCTAATTTGGTATTATAAGGTAAAGGAAACGACCTGTATACAGGAGTGTATCCTGTTTTCCAGTAGTGCCAGTGTCTACAGACATGTAAAACGGTCATCTAGTAGTAAATATAACGCTACATATCAAGATTGTGTTCTTGAATTGAAACAAATGTAAGAACAAGTGCACATGCAGCCGTTGATTGCAATGCAACAAAAAAATTTAACCCTCAATCGATAAAATATTACTGAGCCATTACTGAATAAATGAGAATGAATTGTTGGGTTTGAAGTCGTGATCTTTTTTCAATTTACATTTTTGGCGTAGTTTAAAACTCCATGAAGGTTGTGACCTCACATACAGGAATTAAATGCAGCAGCTATGTCCACGCAGAAAAATGTCACCTTTCCATGTTTTAGTTTAAACATAGCGAGAGAAAAAACATTGATTTCCTTTCTAGTTTCACAGATAAACCTCCTTCCGAAGTTAAGTGCGTTGTTCATTACCAAATTAAAGGTTAAATCTTTTGATATATCGCGTGTGTCATAACATCAACACATAGAACTACGTTTAAACCAGATCTCTATGTTACAAGGGTATACAAATTGTGATTTTGTACAAAACGTTCGGCACAAATATTCACTGTGGCTTCATAACTTACTAATGGCTGATTTGATTAAGTTAATTTTCCATTTATACATAAAATATCTCCTTATTCGATCGACAATCTGCGATATCTTATGTACTCATCGACATAATCTGCTCTTTGTACAATACGTATAATATAAATATATGTTGACCTTGGAGGTTCTATAAATTAAAATAACTCCAAGGTGCAATAAACAAAAGTTTTACAAACATTTGCGATTTCCAAAAGTATCTAAAAATTTCAGACTCACGTCTCCAAGGCACATATGTAGCTATGAAAAACACTGTCCAGTTCGCCGAACAAGGATTCCCTATCGCAAGCAATTTCTTCGGCATCTTCGAACACATCGTCGTCTACGTCCTCCGGGAAAGATTCAGAAATTGTACAACTACCACGCAAGTTGTCATTGGCCATTAACGATGAAGAGTTTTCAACACAATTTGTCCTGGAATCACCCGTCGCCACGTTGTTGTCAAAACTTAATCTTATCACTTTAGGATGTGGCGGCGAAGAATCCTCTCTCGTGGTCGCCTCCGGTGGCTGTAGAGTTATTACACTGCCGCAAACAAACGGGTTTTCTTCTGCGTAGATCTGCTTGTGAAGCATCTTCAAGGTATTGTTTATTAAAACTGTACGCCTGAGACAAGCTTCAGGATCTTCCAATCGACGCAACTTTTCAAAAGTGACTTGTAATATAAAGCGACGTTGATCAACAAGTGATACAACAGAGCTTTCGCTTTCTACGACAACTTTGCTAGACTCTTTCCTTTTGATTCCTCTCTCTTTGATCCGATATATATCTGTGAAACGGGAGATGAATAAGTAAATAGGTCAGGGCACAAATATTAAGTGCTATTTAAATAGACCAAGACCTTTTCAAGGCCGAACTTTGCAACATTAAACAAGAGAACACAAAAGAATCGTACTTAATTCAAACAAATCAGGCAGGGTGATCACTGCATACGAATTAGGGATGAATGTAGGCAGTCAACCTTTCGCTGCACTTTTCATACGTAATAAGGTTTTGTTCTAAGATTAAAAAGAAAATGGGAATTCAATTAGATGTGAGAGAATTGTCTTACCTTTCTCCCCTGGGTTCGTACAAAGAAAATTAAGTTCTTCGGATTGAGTTTCCCATTCTTCAGACAGGAATGTTTCGTCTTCGTCCAAACACTGATCTTCCATCGTAAACGACCACAAATTTGTCATGGGAATTACAAGGGTCATTCCACATCGCCTAAATAAGACCTAAAACGTGCGAGAAAATTTTATTAGTGGAGAGTAAATATAGGCATGATGCATCATAAACTTAACGCCGCTTTCATGAAAAGTTAAAAAAAATTGTAACTCGCGCTGTCATTGTCAGCGACGGCAAAAGGCGAAGGAAAAATATTGACACCGCATTCTAAAATTGGTTTATCGGCGCCGCATCACAAACATACCTACACTAACAAATACGAGAGTAAATAGCCTAAGAGATTCCGCAGTTGAATGAACAAACTTCCTCGGTTACTATTAAACTGATGAAGCTACATCCTTTCCACTTTGTTGTCCTCAAAACACTAATCAAAACCATCAAAATCATTAAAAATGAAAGTTGCTTTAGCGTGCCATTATTCCAGCCCATTAAAGCTTTTCTACGCTTCACAAATTACCAAGCATCATCAGTCGTACAAAAAATTATATCAAAGCCGTAAGACCTTCAATGAAGATAAAAAGGAACTAATCTGGATGTTTTTGACCAAGCAGCGGCAGATGTCTCAAAGGAAAACTTCAATGCTCTGTTTCACACACAGCCTCGCACCACCACCCTTGTCACAAATCGACACTTGATTGGCTTTCGCTGTATTGAGCGGGCTTCTCTATTGTTTTCAGTGTCAAGAGCTTGTCAACACACCTGTCGATGTTTGTCAAAACGAGCCAATCGGAAGTGTTGGATTCCGGATGCATAGTGGCTTGAATAATAATTGTCGCTTTTGCGATTTTACCCGTTTTACGATCGGTTCATCCTAAATATTTTATGCAATGGTTGTAAGCACGCATCATTTATTTAAATGAAACTCATGTGAGCATTGATCTTTTTCACTCCATGTTTTTGTTACGTAATTAGGTCATTAAAAACATCCACTCTTCGATAAGAAATCGCGCGGGTGTATTTTGATTTGAGTTTGATGAGACATAGCATTAATATAAATATCTCTTCCTTCCAGACAGCGTAAGTGTTGGCAAATTTACTGCTACTCCACAGGAAGACCTATATTTATTACGCAAAAAAAAGTGCCTTCGATCTTCGCACATTTTTTCAGATTTAGAACAAACTGGAAAAAAAAAACGATCTTGCGTTCGTCTCACCAGCTAGGAAAAGGTATTCATCTTAAATCAGCGATCTAGCGAGTTTTTCGGTAAATATATAATTCACAAGAAATAACAATTACTCAGCGACATAGAGGAAAGTTTTCCGAATTAATTCATCAAAGAAATTGGTTAAAGATGACGGAAAAATGGGAGGAAAATGAAATTTAGCGATTAGTTCAAAGGTACACCAGGGCGAACTGCAATGAACGGATGAAAAAGATAAAAAATCAGTACCATCCTTTGTAGGAGTGTAGGCCATACAAGGCTGTGTATTAAGTCAGTACTTAACGTGTAAATACAAAGGAAAATAAAAGCAAACAATCGTGCGAGGACAGCTTTTCTACACACAAACTGCTATCTTTCATTACAGCGCGTCAAAACTATCGATTTCGTATTTAATTCAGCACAAATATTGGGAAAAAAATTAATGACAAATGTATTTTGAATGAATTTAAGTAAAAGCGTTATCTTACTTGGAAGAATCAAGAGAAACATTTCGACTAATAAACAAGATAAACTCAACAATTTGTCTTGAGTCATTCAGCTCGACCCTCGCTACCGAGGTTCCCCGCTCAGTTGAGCAAATACTGCAGTTTGAGATCTTTACGCTGGATCATTCCAGGAAAACGGTGAAAAACAATTGCATTGAAAACTGATTATTTGCGAATAAAAAAGAGCTTTCCTAAGTACCAGCGCTACAAATTACTTCATCTCGCCGATATCATCAGATTATTTGTTAGACGGAAAGTAATAATTTGAATTTGAACAAAAGTGAAAACCCTCTCATGCAACAATCGTACGCTGCATGCTCTGAAACTCCAAAAAGTTACTACTGCTTTGCCATCTACAACAAACTTGAAAAAAAAGCGATGGAGCAAATTCAACCCACCTTATCAATATAAAGAGGTGTTCTCGATTTGATGCAAATATTTATCAGATTTCAGACAGAAAGTTATGATTTGTATTCGCAACCCTGCGTGGCCATGTGTAATGTTGAAGTCTGGTGCATTTCATTAGCGAGAGCTAATTGCAGATGTGACAAAGAAAGCCAATAGAATTTCGCATAGGGAATTACTTTCGCATCTCATAACTTATCAAACAATACGGAGATCTCCTTTATTAAAAATTCATTGTTTGCTGATCTAAGCTGGCTGCCAATAACATGTCCACTCGCTTAAAAGGAACAATATTCATGGAGAAAATTAAGACAAATGTTAACATAATATTCAAATATGCACGCGAAAAACGTTAACGAAATATGTTATATTTGCTTCAATTTTCCTTTAAAAGAAATTTATGTCAGTTTTAAAACTGCTATCATAAACATGGTGTGAAATATTAATTCAGAAATCGAAAACTTTGCAATTCAGAGCGGCTTGACTAAATCAAAGTCAAGTAGTAATTTCAGACGCAAAATTTATTAAAAGCTGGGCAACGTAGAAAGTAAACAACACGTGATGTTCTTGAGAAAACTTTAATTCACAAACATCATCTCATGTTTACCTAATTATTTCGAGCTAAAATGATGTCAGTTTAGCGATTGGAAGTCATCTTTCTGTGTGTTTATGGTGTAGAAAGGCGCAACACGAAAGATAATTTCGGAATTACTTTATTTATTGTCAGCTTACTTGTAGCGCAATTGAACAGAAAATTATAAAAACTAATTATCTGTAATACTTTTGAGGTTGTGAGGTTTCCCTAGTGATGGCTTTCAAAGCAAAAACGAGTAAACTAATACTACGTGTCACAATCTTGCTAAAAATAAAAACACGTTTCTCCTCACGTACAACTGAAAAATTGAGTTATTCGCCCATTTGACAGAATCAACAATTTTCATTCCTGTTCTTTGGAAAATCCATATTCAAACCATTGTGGTCATATAAGCAATTAATAAGACAGTTTTTGGAAACTAGTTCATATACCCTCATTGAAATGTTCTCCAACTAATTTCATCAAGTTTTATACTTAATTAGTCATCATTTGATTAATGATCTTCAGTTGCATACTGGTGCTTGATTCCGAATGTCATTTTTCACCGGTTGAGTGTCGTATGACCAAACCCCAAGTGATCATAGCGACCGATAAGAACGAAAAAAATCACAATACGGGCACATAAGAACCTTGAGTGAATGTGGCTGGAGTCATGCACGGGAAAACGCACGCGACCAATTGATTTCTAAATTCTGCGTCTGATTGGTCATGGGGGTGAGGTAAGTATTCTGAACCAATCAAAAAAACTACGGTGGCCCACAACTGTCACGGTAAAAGAAATAACTTCTCAGCAAAAAAAAATACTCACGGCAAAATGAAGAACCTCACGGCTAAAAGGAAAAGCCTCACGGCAAAAGAGAAAAACCTCATGGCTAAAGAAAAAACCTCACGGCAAAAAGAATAACCTTCACGGCAAATTAAAAGTAAAAGACTCACGGCTAAAGAAATAACCTCTCGGCAAAAAAAATAACAATGTTTTCGCGGCATAAAAGAGAGCGTGGGGACTGGGAGGTTTTTTCTTTCGCAGTGAGTCTTTTTCTTTTTGCCGCGAGGTCTTTCATTTTTTCGGTGAGTCTTTTCTTTTGACCGTGAACGTAACGGTTATTTCTTTGGCCGCGACAGTTGTAGGCCACCGTAAAAAACATGTTTCATTTTGCGGGTTGAATGGCCCGTATTCAACTAAACGATCGAGGGGCAAATGAGGCGAACGAAATTTACTACAAAACTTTCCATTTTCTAGCAAATCAAGACAGAAACAACAGCATATTGAGCAAGAATCATCTTTTATTGCACTGTTGTTGCATATTCCCATTTTTTATGTAATTCTTTGATATATCTGCATGGACTAATGTCCTCTCACACCAGATGTCATGGTTAGATAGCCTTATTTTTCTCTTATCACCATTTTTTTCACATTCTTCGCCGACCATATATAATAGGCTTTTATTAGCTCTTTTTCTCAAATGGAAATTGTAAAACTAATATCAACTAACGACACTCATATTATATATTCTTTCTCTCGATTAAGCCAGACGTTACAAGTAATTTCCAATGAAAACAGCGCGCTTCTTTACCATATTTTATTCTTTCAGAAAAGTTGTGTAGCTCTACAAACAATTAAGCAAAGAATTGTACATCAGTTTGTTGGTAGCTTCCTTTTAAATGAACGAAAACAAACACCTAAAAACAAAACTTCAAAGAAATAAGCATATTCTGTTACTTGGCCTTGCCATTTGATGACAACAATTCAAATGAGTTACAGCCATGGAATATTTCAATTCCTGAGTTTTAATTGGTTAACATAGCATGGTATCTGAGCTAATATACCATGGGCCCCTTTCGAGATACAAGATTTTGAGATACTTCTTTTGCCTTTTTTAGTTATTTCAGTTATTTCATTTCCAGTCGTTGAATAAAAGACAGTTGGGGCCAACAAGGCACACATTTTAACATCCACCATCTCATATCCACCGCCTGCTCATGGAATAACTGTTAACATCAACACGTTTGACGAATATATACACTGAGCTTGGCTCCAACAATTATAAACATTCCTACGGTCCGTACAGGACAAGTAAACTTCATCTTTTTTCCTTTTTAATTTATCTACGAAATGTATAACTAACTAAACCGACGCATCAACGACGGAAGAAAAGTAAAAACTTTTATTATGGAGTGAACACTGTTACATTGACGAACAATCCGCCCTAGTGAATCTGTTCAACACCACTAGTCACAAAAGCCACAGGGGGTTATTAACACGAATCGACGATTTACAAGGTAAGTTTCACCTCTTACTCTTTTTAGTTTACGAAGGAGATTGAATTTTGTAGCGAGTTTTTAGTGAGTTTGTAGTTAGTTTATAGCATGGAAGAGCCACCCCTCCGATGGATATGCTAATAAACCATTATTATTATTATTACTATTATTGTTATTATTTTAAAGTACTATTTTAGTCAACTTTTCTGTTTTCGGCACATATACGCAATCAAAATTAAAGAGTATTTACAAGCCAACATCTGATATATACACTTACTAAACAAAAACTACACGAGTGTTATGGATAGTGACATCATAATAGTCCAACGGTGGAGCCTGGAACCATTGGCCACTCGGCACTCTCTAGGTCCCAGACTTTGACGTCCACTGCCTGTCCAGTGGCAGATGCTCTACTTGGGGCATCACATGTGATACCTTTTTGTCTGACTATGGCATTGATGTAACTCGCCATAAGCAAGGTGATTTCCAAAATCTGTAACAGAAAAACAAGTTTCAGCACCGTCTATTGCAAATAATCTACACGAAGGCTGGGAAAAGGGGAACAAACAATCGGTTTTTGCTTCGCATCTGATTGGTTGAAAATTTGGCGCCACTTTTCTTGACCAATCACGGAGCGCAGAGAAGCAAAAACAATACAATCCCGGATTGAATTTTAATTTGATTAGAATTACCTTTGCTCTAGGCATGACAAACAGCAACCTCTGGGTACCCTGCTCAACTGTGTTTCCGCCACGCATGATAGACTGGTTCACAACTAACATGAAGTCCTCTTTCCACCCACCAAATGTTACTACGTGCTTGTATCTATAGCGGCACATCAAGCGCTGAAAAAACAGAAGAAGGAGCAACATTTAATCACCCAAAACTTTCCTAGCCAAGAGCATTTGTCAACACCACCTAGGGAAACTGGGCACATGAGTTGGGGGAGGGCGGGGGAGGAGGTTTACGGGATCTTAGCGCCTTGAGAGGATCATTTCATCATCTAACAATTTTGTTCAATTTTGGGACAGTAAGACGAGAAAAAGCGAGCGGGTGAGCGAAACGAAACAATGACTCTGACAAACACAAGCTGAACTGGCAAACTTACCAAGCTGTTTCCTTCCAGAAGATTAATACTGTCCTCTTCCACTGCCAGCCACACTGGCTGGGTATTGTCTACAGGCGCAGCGCGTTTTTTTGCAGCGGAAACCGTATTTTTTTGCTGTTGGAATGAAATAGTTAAAGATCAGTACGCCGTTAATACTTGGGTTTTGCTAAGCTACAAGTGAAAAAAGTTAATTCACGCAGCAGACCACGTCAAGCATAAATGGCTGCTGAAGTTTATCAAGGTTTTCACAACATGAAGTGGTGAGAGTGAAATGTCTCTCAAACAAAGAAAATACTATGGGCTGACCTATTAAGCGGGAGTTCAGCGCACTGCCTATTAAGTTAGTCACCACATCGCGCACTGGGGTTAAATTAAAACAATTATGAATATAGCTACTGCAAAATACGTAATACAAGTCGCCTTGGGAAATAATTTGCCTCTACTTTACTGTGAATCTCGCCTCAAAAAGATTGGTATCCCAAACCTGTGCTTGGAAGAGCCTGCATCCGAAAAACGGCCATCGCCTTGCATTCTCGAGATATTTGTCCACGCACTCTTTCACGCTCCAACCGTGCAGCGTCGACCATTTTTCGGCCATGCGCAGTGTGAGTGCCCTAAAAGGAGTAGAGAAAGCTGCAGTCAGGTTGACGAAAGTTTTAAGTTTGCTTCCTAGTCCTTTTAGATCTCTTCAATCATCGGCCATCCTGGATCTTTCGTGGTCTCCTTCGCTACTTAACTATTCAATTCACAATTTTAACGTGTACTTCGTTCCGAACTCGAGAGAAAAATTTTTGCTAACTATTTGCAAGCAATTTGTTGCGAGTTGCCCACCTTTTTCCTGTGTCTTCCCGCAGCGTTTTAACACAAAACTTGGTGATAACAATCTCGATTCTCTTGCTCGGCAGTGAATTGCTCTGTGCTCTATAGTCACCATAAGAGATCTGATGAAAACAAACGCCATTTCTCAGTCAAAACACTTACAAATTGTTGTCAAGATGTCAACAAACGTTTGTCTCCTTCGCTATCAATCTCCAGGATGTCACTCAGTACTCCCTTTTGGACGAAACATTACCTTAAGTCCTCCCCCTCTTCAACCCATACCCCTCCCCTCCCCCTGCAAAAAGAAAAAAAGAAAACCAAACAAAAACTAACGCGAAGGTGAGTAAAAAAGTTAATTAGAAATTTCCAATACCTGGGCCATAAGCGCTGCAAATTCCAAAGCCATCTCCTTGCTGACAGGAAATCGGCCCTTAACAATACTATCATTTGTCTGCAATTCAAATGAGCATAAAATTCAAAACAACAATTACGTTATTGGCATATCTAATGAAACGGAACCCATTCCGAACCACCGTCGATCTCATACGCGAATATCACGGATATTGCGCAAGCGTTTGTGCAGAAATTATGTCTGTAACGAATATACCAGTTAGAAGATTAAAGACATTTTACGTAGTTTTGAAACAAAGATGGAAGACAATTCAATGCACAGAGAGTTAAATATTTCATGACACGAAGATGAAAAGAGGTTATCATTTTTTCTTTGATTAAAGGTCTTAATTACCTGGAGTACAAGGAAGTACTTTTCTTTGTCTGTTTCTCCGCTGCTGAGGCTCTTGAAATGTAACCTAAACAATTTACAATTGACAAAAATTTGAAGATGATTAAATCCTTTCCAATCATATTTCCTACTTTCTCTGTTCACTCTCCCTTAACAACCATACATTTTCCTTGAAATCAGCCAGAACACCAACACGACGCAAATATCCAGTTCGAATTCATGCTTGCGCACGGATGTTCACAAAATAATCAAACATTCAGTCTATCTGAAGTGCACTTTCTCTCTGGGCCCAACTGAAAACCACCTTACGTAACGTAGACTCACTGCCTTAACCTTTCTCGCTAACATACAGAAAAAAGGACCTGGATTGCTAGAAAGCTAAAAAATTCACCTGTTCTTGTAGGTGAGTTTGATCATCCTATTAGTGTCCAGTTTCCCTTGGCTTTGACTTCGTAACGCTTGTTCCCATTTCGAAATCACGTCACAAAGCTGTGGAGACAATGGTAACAGAGAAGGACGTCATTTACAAAAGTGTTCTCCGTATTGGAAGAAAAGGAAGGAAACTTGAAACTTCTTAAACTCAATCAATCTCTGCAACAAACTGCTCATCCGGGCACACTTACTTCTAGTTTACAAGGGCCACTTATGAGTTTGGCACCACGTTTGATGACTTTAAGAGGCACCAAAGTCTCGCGCTAAGGACTTTCGGAAGCGTGGAAGTCAAACAGACGCAGCAATTGAGCCATGTTTGAAAAAGCTTAACGGAAACGTAGAAATTACTAACCTTGACTTTGGCTTGTAAACAATGCTCTACTAAGTTAAAAGGATTATCCGTGAAGAGTGCATATCCACTTTCCGAGGACGAGCGAATACCGACCATCTGCAAGAGATAATATTTATCAGTTTCAATAAAAACAAGAACGAGCCACACCAATTACAGTATCATGAGCAAAACCATACTCAAATGCACGGTTTCACTCACAGTTCCTCTCCTTTTCTTGTCCGCCATCGCAGCATAAAATTTACTTAAGAAACAAGGCGGCCCATTCCATCTCATGTTAACTGAGCCATTTGGCCGGCTCCGAGTTATGGCACGTGCCTTAAAATAAGTGATCTATTTTCTTCAGTTGACTTACTCTGTTAATTGTCTCCGAAAACTCTTGAATGGTAGTGGAACCATCAAAACCAAATACCTAACAAGTGAAATGAAGAGGAGAAAAAGAAAGATATTGACCAGCTGTATCAGGCGTGTGACCGGAAAAAAAAACGTAGAGGTGAATAAATAAACAAGAGGTAAACAAAAACGAGAACTCGTTCTAACTGAGGGAAAACAATTTCTTCCTAGCGTGTTTTTTCATAAATTCGGTACTTAATACAGACAGAAGGATTTATATCGTTTTGGCAAAAAAGAAGGAATTTGTCCGATGATCGTTTTTGAAACTTACTTGACTAGATCCATCGATAAAGTGCACTGGAATGCTCATCAGACATGAGTGATCATAAGGTTTCCGCAGCAAGATTGAGAGAACCTGGGCAAAACATAAAACAACAAAGGAGTTCTTCAGAAAACTGTCAACATACAGATAATCACTCTGACGAAAAGCTTACGCTCGAAACGTCAGTTTTAGAATCTCTTTACGGTTGCCAATTTACATTATCAACCCAGTAGATAAAATAAAATCATCTTATCTCAAATTATTCCACGCACGCAGCACCGCAGACAATCGCATATCTCAAGCAATTATGTTTCTAATCATACGGTAAGCCTACACTAGTTTGGTGTTTGTCTCTTACACATGCAAATTACCCACTCTCTACTGTTTCCCTTCAATATCTCCCTCTTCACTCGAGCGGAAACGTTTCATTCAACTGATCCGCACCACAAAATTTGAAAACAAAGGTCTCTGGTTTTCTAATTTCTGCCATCTCTTTAAATCGGCTTTAATCTGCACTAATAAGTATGTCTAGAAATTCGTCTATTTCAGGGCTTAAATGTAAGCCATCCTCACTAATCATCATCAGATCATTTAATTGACGGTTATGTTTGTCTCAGAGTTCCGCAAAATCTTGCCAAAACGACCGTACCTCCAGTCTCGACGGTCTGGCTTCTCGTTTCCCGTTTCGCAAACTTCTCTCTAAGCTCCGGATACAGTAAGTTGCGTATTTTCCAAGTTTTGTTCTACGCAGAGACAAAAAGAAGAAAAGGTGAGAATCAAGGTGATGAATTGTGTCAAAAAAGTTCGGAAATCCGATAAAAGGATGTCGAGGCACCCACAAAAACCAACATTCAAACATATGTAGCGGTTAAAGTTTCGAAAACAAAGGGAAATGAATTGCCGGTACCAATCGCACTTACTTCTGTTTGAAAATTGTCATGCCTCTAGGTATAGAGCAAATTAAATAAATAATAATTTAGTTTTAAAAAAAAACATTCAAAGAATGCCCCCAGAGCACCACTTTTGTAGTCGTTGTTTTGGTTTGGAGCTTAAGAGACTCAATAAACGTGTTGCCACCCGAGTATATTGTACTTACTTAAAAGTGGACGTCCGATTCAAATGTCCCTTGAGGAAGAGAAGGAACTTCTGTTTAGGGACAAAAAGAGCTGTACATAGCGATAAGAGTTGCCACGCTTGGATGTAAACGAACTCTTGCACTGGACGCAAGTCGATGGTTGCTTGTGAGGCGATGTCAAATGACTCCTCCCTGAGCCATGAAGACTTGCCACAATGTTCCAAGAAGTGCTGAACGAAAGAAAGTTTTGAAAAACTCTACAATTACGGTTTGTTCACAAATACAAGCAATTTGTGGCACAAACAAGTTTTAACTAGCGTCCAGTGCCAGTCAATGTCAAAGGACGTTCTCGGGCGGTCAAAAGGTGTTTGTTTAACGAAAACCTGGAAGGAGAGCGGACTCGAAAAACCAGAAGAAGGAGCAATAGAACAAGTGTAATTCCAAAGTTTCACAATGTGATTAAAGTAGGAGGCCTGAAAAGAGCTCGTTTTACAGAATAGTGTTTTTAAATTAAAGGAGTTGTTTATTCTGGTGCGGCCATGAGAAATAAAGTTTGTGAAACTATGTACATCAAGGTGAATATGATTAAATAAGCACTTATAAAAGAATACTAAGTCTTTCAGTTCTCTGTCGTAGGTAAGAGGGAGCAAATCCAGGGTAATTCCATGTAAGGCGCACGTTTTATGGAAACTTGCAAATTCTCTGGTGTAAGGTTACACATGCTGAAGGAATTTTCTTTGGTAGTCAAAACGAATATACTTTGGCGAATAGGATTAATTAAATACAAAAATCAGCCCAGTTGACCTTTTTAAAAATACACAAAGGCAGTAAATTTTAAGTGACAAATAGAACAGAACCTCTATTTGACGTAGAAATAAATCACTGAAACGCAGGATGCACTGATTTCCAATTTTTTTTATTTTGCCTTATTTTATTGAGCATAAAGTTATTCACTGACATTTTTTCGAGAACTATCACGGCAGATGAAGATAATAATGAAATTATAGCACATTATGCCTTAAGATGAAGACTATCAGTAGTAAGGAGATTAGAATTATCCAAAGCTCATCATGATAAAATAAAATAAAAAAATGTGAAACCCACCCCAAGATCTTCAGGTCCTCTGTGCACGTGTTTCGATGTTTGTTTGATCAGCTGACAATAAATCTCGTTCTGAAGTTCTGGGTTATCAAGACAAGTCTGCAAGGCATTCTGGGCTAGTGACACGTGATAGTCAATGGCTGCTTCCTGTGTCTGTACCGTAGTGAACAAGTGGATAGACTGGGGAGAGGAGAATATTAATTTATTTAAAGCTTTAAGTCAAACAGTTATCCCGATGTGTTAAATTTTCTAAGGCAAGAACATTACCGATCTGTCTCAGTAATACATGTAAAAATTGTTCCACTTTCCTTAATCCCTTAACCCCTAAAAGTGACTGGCATCTAATTTCTCTTTACCATTTCACCCTAAATCAAACATCAAGGTCAGGAGAATAAAGGAACTGATCACCTACTAAAGAAGCTCTTGATTGTTAAACAAATTCTCCTTGTCAGCACATTACGAGATGTATAGAGAACAGTATGGAGAATATGCATACTGATGTTAGGGTGTAAAGGGTTAACAACTACAGTATACATGGGAGTATGGTAGACATAGACGAAGAAGGATAGAAGTTGTTCCCTTAGGGAACAGGGAAGGTGCTACACCAGGAAAAAGAGGAGCTATCGAAGAGCTATAATCAAATTATCCTCACAGTTCCCTCATAAATACATGCGGGTGAAGAGAGACAAGATTAGAATGCTTGACGAGGATCATTCACACATTCACGATTTGAAAGGCTTCAGTCCCTACTGTTCATAGAATAGCTAAGTGTTCTAACCACCAGCTCATCACGCCTATATCACTAACACACAAAGGGATACAAAACAATTTGGATCAGTCAAATAACTAACAATCATGTTTTTCTTCGACTTTTGAGTACTGAGAAGTGACAAAGAAGTGGAAGGGAACTCAAAAGTACAGTGAGAGAGAGACGGCCAAAAGTGCTACAGGTTTTCAGACTTCTATTGATAATATAAATAACAGCAGCTTAACGTTATTGTTCCAACCTTAAAGAGTTTCAAAGCTTCAGCTCCTAACTCCTTGGATGGCAGAGTTGTGAGTGGTTCAATGATTGGCTCTTTACTGTGCGTCAACACATAGCTGTTCCATATCTCACTTTCTGAAATAATAAACATATATATAGCAATAGTTAAAAACAGTCAATGGTCTAAACCTGGTGTCACAGTGGATTTAAACCCACGCCGATGGGGAAGCCCCTTGTCCACATCCGAAGGTTCAAATTCGCTATGAGACCGAGGCTAACGATTATTTGTGTAGTCTGGGTGAGAGTAGTCCTGAGAACGAGAGAACTCTGATGATGACTTCCGCTTAGGTTGTCGAAACATCGGTCACAACTACCGACTACCTTACCCGGATATTAAGAATACAAGACTGGTAAAGAAACTGCAATAACCTATATTTAAAGCTAACCTACGTGACAGGCGGGAACGGGGAAGGGAAAACCTTTGAAGGAAAAGAGCTGTTGTTACCTGGATCACAATCCTCAACAATGAGCTGGTATATGCTTTTTTCAAATTCCGTTCCCATGTCATCAATACCACTACCAGATGCCACTTTTAGATGGAACAGCCATGAATCCTAAAGCAGGAGAAAAACGAACCCATGATTAAGTGTCAGCATTCAGGCTGCACATCAGACAATTATCATTCACAGGAGGGTGGTGAAAGTTGGCTCTCCCATTTGAAGGAGGGAGAAATGATCCACGTTTTTCTTACCTTTTCTTCAATCGAATCAATCAACAGGAATGTGGTGGAAGGTTGTTTAAGAGACTTCATCACCAATGTGAAGTGACGATACGGTACTGCATCGCTTACGCTCCCGTTCTCTGAGTCGGGTGATTCCAACTCTTCAACCACCACGTCAATCATGTGGGTCATGCTAAAAGGCACCTGACAAGTGAAAACAACAACAAATAAAATTTTTAAGGAAATTTCAGGTTTGGTTAGACGATTATCAATCATTTTAATAAATAATCAAATTATTACTGAATCAATGGTTAATTAACTTGCTTAATCCATTCTTTTTTAACTTCCTGTGAAAGTGCAAAACTCGAATCAACACTTAAAACATTACGGTAGCAGGATCCAACTTTGGATCAACAAATGTCAGCAACATGTAAATAAACAAGAATTAAGTCATTCTTCTGAACAAAGCTATACAAAGAAACATTTACTTCAGAGGTTATGGCGCATTTCATGGATATCTGTGGCCCTCTAATGGGAAGCTCTTCTATGACAATCCTCTATAAATCCACAAACCAGTCCTTCTTTAGATTTGAGCCCAAAAAAGGGACACATAATTAACCAGAAAGTGCACAGTTATATTGTATCTTTGGAAAGTTACTTACAGCGTCATCTTCACTCTTATAGTAACAAAGATATTGACCACGAAGAACACTCCAACACTTTTTCGAAGAGCCATGCTTCACCTTGTATGGAACACAAAACAGAAGAAATGCATAAATTACCCATCTAAATTTTGACTTGAACATAATTTTAATGACTAGGGCGTTACACAATATATTCAATACGCCAGGAGTCTGACAAAAACAGTACAACATACAACATAAACCTTGCAGCTGTAATATCGCACCTTTGTGATCCATCCTTTCATTATTTCTTTTTCCTTCACTTGGGCAAACAATGGAGTACTTGAAAACTTCCTCATAACATTATGAAGAACTACAAAATTCAAATGAAACCAATTATTGATAGCAAGACTAACACAGATCAGCATCATGATCTCTTTAACACTTTCACTCTAAGAAGTTACTAAAAAGAGGTTTCTCTTACAATATCACTAAGCTATCCAGCAGAGGGGTAATGATAAGAAAGAAAACCTTCATCTATGAGACATCATTTGAATAAACACATTCTCAAGGCTAAAATTTATCACAGACAGTAAACCAGAGTTGATATTAAAGATCTGGGGGGTGAGAGGTTAAAAGAAGAGCTAGTGTGGAGGATTATTTTGGTGTAACTTCCTTGAAAACTTCAAGCAACAGTCCAACTCAGTGATTGCCAAGTGAACAGAAGTTGGTAATCTTTCAATTTTTAAAAAGTCTTTGGATTCTTCATTTTTAGCATGAACACAGTGAGCATTAAAACAAAATATTGCCAATCATACAAAGCAAGTAAGAGTGTCTGGGTACCTCTGAGCCAGCTGTCCACAACCTCTGTTGTCTCTCCAGTCAAGTAAAAAGTCCTTTTAGGTGTGGCAACCTAGCAATCAAGCAAGCAATATAATGAGCAAAAGTATGAGTTAAACATTTGCTGAACAGCACCAATATCATGGTACTCACTGGTTCCAAATACATGTACAAGCAGCAAGTCTATTGCATACAACTGTCTACACTAGTCTACGGACTTAAAGTAATGTTAGGAATTTTTTTACAAGGCTGTGACAACAGTAACTACTTGAGAATCTTACTTCAATTGTCAGGGCACCATCAGTCCGTGCAATTCTGCAGCTTCCATCCAATGGAATTTTACCCAAAGGTTTCCTGTTGACATCATTCTGCAACAATGAAATGGATAAAAACCAGACATAAATTAATATGTAAATCATAATAAATCTTAAAGAGGAGGTTCACACCTACAGCTCTACATGTATCTTCATGAATGTGTCACCCTGAGTCTGTCAACTACAAGCACAATTTTCAGTACATTTTGTGATTTAAGGTTTTTCAGATTCACAACATTTTACCTAACTGAGAAATAACAACTCTTAAAACACAGTCCTAATCAGGTAACAGAAAACAGAAAAATATCACCCTGACACAAGTATGTGCTGATTATAAATGTTGATAGAGTTCAGTGTATACCTCTGTTTTGTAGTAGCAAAGATTTCCATCATCAAGGACAAACCATCTTTTCTTCCAGTTCTTCACACGGCCTCCCAGTTTAGTAAGGTATCCTGCCTTTCCTTGATTTTCCTACAAATTGTACATTCAAGAACACAACAAATTAAAGTAATGCTAATCTCAGGTTAACTATTGATTGACATTACAACTTATTTAGCAGTTACTCATCCATGTGTAAATTAAGCACTATGTAAATATCAACAAGAAACCATCTTTGATTTATTCATTTAAGCACAGTAAATGGATCACATCTCAGTCATGGCATTAGCCTTGTGTTAACTTCTTGTCTGTATTCCCTCATGACACTAATGATGTTGTAGTAGGTCAAGCTCAAAATAAAAGTATTCTGGTGGTGATTCCCTTTTCTGACAGCTAAATATTAGGTTGATCATTCTGTTGTCTTGCAGACAGAATTTCTCTGAAACAAATTAAGTTAGACAACAGGCACATCACTTGTCTTGCCACATCTCACTGCTACCACAATCACTGTTTCATTAACCCTTGGACAAACAAGATGTAATTTGTAACTCTCCCTTCAAGCCTTTTAAGAAAGGTTAAGATAAGTTTATGTTATATCAAGAAAAATACATCAAGAGAGTCTCTTGCATGCCCTTAAATTATTGTGTTTACCTTTTTCAAGCTGACAGTTGTGTAAGTGGCACAGGTTTTCAAAACACGTGTAGTTTCTTCAAGAAGCTCATCTGTGTTCTGTTTCATGTTGTGGTGTTCTTCTGTTGCTGCCACTTCATCTGGTGGAGTGCAGTAGTCTCCTGCAGAGCTTTCATTGTCAGAGGAGTCTGTTGATTCTCCAGAAAAAGGTGTGTTTCGGATCTGAGAAGCTCTCTGGATCAAAAGAGAGAAATTTAGTATTAAATGGCTTCAGCATATAGTTTTTTCCTGTACCAGAAATTTATAAACTTGAGCAAATTCAATGGCTAGGTCATAAAAAAGACAACCTAAGTTTCATAATACATATATATCTTCTCATATACATACCCCTTTCAGTGTTGTATACACAGGACAGCTTTGTTCCTGTAGAATGTTCAAGGTTAACTCATGATTAATATAGAAAATTGATGTTATCAAAATATAACTATGCCTTGTATCTCTGATGTGAGAATCACATAAAAATAACTGTAGACAAGAAGTTTACAAATCAGTTAAAGTCTGCTTAATTCAATCAGTTTTTCACGCAAAAATTTGGGAAGTTACAGGATCATGATTAGGAAGAATGACTTGTACTTTGCTCTTAATAAGCTTTTATTTAATTTGTCATTTTACTTTTGGCATTTTTCTTTGAAACTACTGCCATTAGGTCTATGAAAATGAACAACAAGGAAATCATGCGAGAAAATTAATAGTTTATACACTGTATAAAGGAGTCATAAAATCACACTGTTATGTCATATTAGGTAGCATTTGTCATACCGCTAACATGTTGAGGTTTTTACTTCGCGTCTCCAGTGTCCCAAATGGTGGTGTATCTGAACCAGCTGTGAACAAATAGTTGTTAAAGTTGTCACCTCCCAAAAAAAATAATTCACCATATGGACCTTGAAAATGATAATTTTTAAATTCTCACATTGGCTATGCAAATTTTGCTGATTGCAGTTTTTCCAGCTACAGCATGTCACTTTAACCATTTCCATATACATCTACCATGCATGACACATGCGCCATACTTCAGTCCCATCAGATCCAATATATATACTAAGACATTTTATGTTGCTGTGCATCTTTTCAGTAATATATCAAAGATGATGTCAAAATGTGGTAAGAATTAAGACAAAAAAGTGGCACATGAGACACAACCAAGTGTCACTGACATTCTTAACCCTTCAACTCCCATGAGTGACCAAGACTGAATTTCTCCCTACTATTTCAAACCAACATTAAGCAGACAATTGATGAGAATAAAGAAAAATATCAATGAGGGGATTATCAGTTGATCCAATAACAAATTCTCCAAAATAACACCAAAAGAATTATACAGCAGACAGTGAGGAGAATTGCTATTGAGATCTTAGGAGTTAAAGGGTTAAAACATGTTTTTGTCTTCTGTAATCTATTCCTACATTAATTTTTTTGTATACAGACCCACAGCAAACTGTAATCTATTTATTTTATAAGATCAAAAAAAGGCAAAATGTTGTTAACCCTTTAACTCCCAGAAGTGTTTAACTTGTATCTTCTCCCTATAATATCTGTACATTATCCAGCCACCAGGTAGTGAGAATACTCAAACTCATCAGGAAGAATCTGTTATCTTGATCTAGCACCAAATTCTCATGACTTAATTAGGAAGAATTGTATGCCAGTTAGAGAGGAGAATTAACAATCAGATCTTGGGAGTTTAAGGTTTAATGGTGATGTCATATATGCATCTGTCCTCCAATAAATCATAGGTAAGAATCAATCATAATGTGTGCATAATTGTCACATTACATTTGTATATCTTATTTATGCTTGATTGGACAACACTTTCTCTGTCAAACTCAGAAAACAATGAACTCCTAAAACATGTGCAAAATGTTACTGTATTAACATTCATAGCATGGAAGCTAACAACAAACCTAACTAATTTGTGTCAGACTGCTTATGTCTCACTTATTTCCCCACCCCCTCCCCTCCAAATCACATCCCACAAGTAGTTCCAGTCTTCATGGTTTTCAAAGTTTCACAGTAAAGTCCAATTCATGTTAGAAACACAAAGCATATACCTGAGTTATCATTCCACATCCAAGAATCAGTTCTGTTTGATTGCAACAAAGCTGCAGGAACATCCACTTTATTACCCTCAGGAGCATTGCCATTTTGTAGGTCTGTTTCTGATAAGTAACTGGTAAACTTTCCCTCCAATCTAGTCACATCTTGCAGTTGCTCTTCTTTGTTTGTTCTTGGCACAGGTGGAACAGGGGGAGGAACAACACTTTCTAATTCAAAGCGCGGAGGAACAGGTGGAGGAAGGGGAGACAGAGGAAAACCATTATTTACTGAGGGTTTTCTAGTCACAGCTGAATCTGTGTCAGTTCTCACAGAGTCTAGCTCTGGTTCAAGAGTTTGATAAATTGGATCAGTAGAGGTGGCATCCTCTGTGAGGGAACCAACAGATGACCTACTTCCTGACAAAGAATCTTGTTCATTTTGTGCAACACTTGGAGTTAAACTTCCACTCTCCAATTGTAGAGTCACTAATTCACCAAGCCTTGCATGAAATTCTTCTCCATGATTACCAGGTTCAACAGGTTGTAGATAAGTTTCAAAGACACTGTCGTCTATTTCTGAATCTATTGTTGACTGACTATCAAATTGTTTCCTCTGTGACATTCTCTCTAATGGAGTTAATTGCATGTAGGGATTATGTGAGTCTTGTATTTGTATAAAGAATTTTGCTTGAGAACCTCCTGGACTCCTCATTCCTCTTTTGAGTGACATATAATATGATATCTGAGCAGCTCTTTGATCCTCTGAAGTCCCAATAAATCGAGGAATTTTCGATGGAGATTTTCCGCTTGAAGTTCTCTTAATTTTAATTTCGGCAGATTGATCCGATATGAAAGTGCTAGTATCATCATTATCATCATTAGTTGGTGTTTTTACAAGTTCATCTGGTGACATAGGTGTCGGTGTGGTACATTGTGAGCTTATTGAAGTTACTGGCGACTGATTCCCAACAGTATCCTCAGTTAGAAATGATCGAAAACCAGATTCTTCTTGATTGGCGTCAGGTTCTAGCTCATAATAATCACCAGACTGTGACTGGATGTCTGCAAGTTCGTGGGATAATCTCATCACTTGATCTGTTAAAACAAGATAATAATGTTGATATCAGCTGACTAGCACTACAAAACACAAAAGCTTTGAGCTTGCTTTAGAAGTTACCATAAGGATATAGCATTGAGGTTTCTCCCTGAAGGGCTTTCCAGTAACTATTTACAATTTATGAAAAACTCAAACAAAAAAAATGTATGCATAGAAAAGGTTTTTTTTTTGAGTGTCAAGAGGGTAGTGGTCTTGTTAAGAGACTATCATTATACCATCACATGAAAACAGTTACAACTTACACTGGGAAAAAAAAAAGAAAAAAAGAAGAAAAAGATATTGTTTCCTGAAAGACTTGAACATAAAACGGCTGTTGTGTAAAGGAACTGGTTTGCTTCATGTTATGATCTTGTTGTTTCAAATTCTTGTTGCATCAGAGATGAAATTGCATCAATCCATACAGGTTTAGTGTAAGAAAACCTAAAGCTCATCATTCTTGTGAGTAAAGGGATCATTTATATAGCAATGTCTGTACCACTTGCTTAGTGCTGCACTGAGCATTTCTAAGCCATTATCAATTTCATGAAAGTAGCAATTACTTCACAGGAAATCCCTTTTGTTGGAGGAGTAAGGATGTTACAAGGTGTTGTATTTTAAAATATAGCATACCTTGGGAAAATCTGAGCTTTTCCTCAATTTCCTTGACCATATCCATGGCTTGCTTGTGGGATGTCTTTAAATGTTCATTCTCTTTATTCAGTTCTCCTAATTTTTCCTCATACTAACAGAGATAAGGTAAAAGCCTGCTTGTGACTGATTCTTTTCCTTCCACATAATTAAAGAACAAAATAACATGCACTTGGACCAGAATTACATGTAAGTAATCAGAGTTGATCCCTATGAAAAACTTCTTACAAGTACATTTAAATACATGTACTGTACCATCTGCAATTTCAAGACCACAGAAAAAAAGAAACATCTCTAGATTAAAAGTACCTCTGAAATCTTCTTATGCATCCAGCTCTTTATACGAGCAGCTTTTTCTTCCACTTCTCTTTCACGGATGAGCCGCTTTTGTTTCTGCATGAAATATTAGGAAATAATTTGGTAAGTATAAGCAACTAACAAATTAAGGTACCTATCACAAAGTTTCTTCTTCACAAAAGAGATGATTAGGGCGGTGTCATTTGCAAAGTTTCCTTCATTCCCACCCCACCCTAGAGCTAAGAAGTAGGGTCAATACTAGGTATAAGCAACTAACAAATTGAGGTAGCTACCACAAAGGTACCTATCACAAAGTTTTTTCTTCACAAAAGAGATGGTTAGTGCAGTCTCATTTGCAAAGTTTCCCCCCCTTCCCACCCCTCCCTAGAGCAAAGAAGTAGGGTCAATACTGATAATGATACCTCATTTTCCAGTTCTGCTTGTAGCTGTGCAACTGTTTCTTCTTTTGCCGAAACCAATGTCTCCAAATGCTGGACCTGAGATGCAAACAGGAGAGCAAACCTGTCAGGGTCATTCAAATAGAACTCCTAGTTCCAGAGATGCTAGGTTTTCTTTTCAAAATGCCAGAAATAACAATTAACAGCTTTTCACCTCTATAGTTACATACAGAGTTTCAACCCCTATGTCACCAAGAACATAGATTTCAGTTAAGATAATGAGGTAAGCCAATAAACAAAGTTATAAACAACAAATTAAAAAGTAAATTTTAATCTGTTTTATGTCCAATAATTCAAGAGTGGTTACCACATGTATACCTAAATTTTTATTAATACATTATAATTAGTTATTTCGTTTCATGAGTAACTGAAAAGCAGGGTTACACTGCAGAACAGTTCAGAAAATTAAGGTAATGACCCACTTTGGTACACTTTTATGTACGAGAGCTACACATAGCAAAAGATACATAATCAGGATCAAACTTTGTGAAATATATCTATTGCTGTACATATTAAAGAAATCAGAATTATTTGATTAAAAAACAAAAAAGGCTATCTATAATATCAATGTTTAAGTTGCATGTGCTACAGGTTAATGAATCACGTGTTAGCATTAGTACCTCTTGGGCAGATTCCGACGCTTTTGCATAAGCAGTTGCCGCCTGTTCTTCCATACCTTTTAACTTTGTAAGAAAAAATTGAACAATTTTCAATGATATAAGTGCAGTAAATAAAATTAAACATTGTTAAATCAGTGTTAGCAAAGAATTAACACAGTGTAAAGGAGCTGCAAGTAAAAATTGCTGATACAAAATATGACAACTACCTCTACACTAAGTAGGTTTTAGCCACAAACAAATCTTATTTAAAACACTTAATACATGTCACGAAAAAAAATTGCCCACAACAATAATATGATGCAAATGAACATGAACTTATGACTGTAAATATATGAAAATCATATAAGTGCACTGCAGTAGAAGAAACAAATATGGGTGATCCTCGCAGTTATGAACACTACAAAACTAGTAGTTGAAATAAGGCCTGAAAAAGATTCAAGCCTGTACCTACTAGTTCAGTTGTGAACATGAACTTGTTGCGCAAATTGAGGTGAATATGTTTGGTTCACTCTCTGTTTTTCCTAACTTGATGAACAAAAGAACAAAAAATAAAAGAAGCCAAAGCATATATATTGCTTCCTGAGAACTCAGTTGTCACACAACCACTTTTCACTTCTTTTAAATGCAGTTTGACCATTTTTTATGCACAAGTGATCAACTATATTTAAACCAATTTAAGTGATTGATATCAGCCTAAAATCTATGCTGACATTGTTCAAATCAGTTTGTCTTTGTTTTCTTTTGTTGTAAAATCAATACATTAAACTTAACCTCAAACAAATGAATAAAGCTGGCAAGTTTCTAAAGAAACTTTGGCACTGTATTGATGAAGAGTATTACAAGATAATTCCGCTTTATAAACCAATTTACTAATGTGAATTGGCCATGACATTGAAATTCAAAAGCTGAAGTTTCAAGCATTAACTCTTTGTTAGTCAGAGCAAATCCGTTAGAGCGAATCTTTCAAACTGGTTTGAAAATTATACCCTATAGGTGTAGAAATCATCTCTTCTCCTTCTTAATAACTGAATTTATTTCTAAAGCTTGTCTCAGAGACAAAATGTAGAAAGAGATTATCTAAACATGGAGGCCTCTCTGTTATTTGCCTATAAGTAGCAATTGGAATGTAGTAACATGCGAGACATGCAGCTGACCACAATAATCTGGGATAGATTTATGACCACAAATGATGCTACATTAGTGAAACTTGTGAGACATATTTTCACGTTGTTGTGTGCCAGAAGGAAATTACATTGGATCAATAATTATTGCTTTACAGTCAAAATCTAACAGCAGTAAGAATCAAGGAAACTTCCATCACTTTCTTCAAATAAAGCCAAACTACTCCTAATAATCACAAAATCCCTCAAGATCAGACAGTTTCATGCAAGGCTAAAATTTAGGCAACAGTCACTACTCCTAATAATCACAAAATCCCTCAAGAACAGACAGTTTTATGTGGGGCTAAAATCTAGGTAACAGTTATGTGTGTTTGATCATGTAACATGCATGATTACAAAGTGAAGACAGAGACAGCCTTGAAAGCTGTCAAGCTTCGGCTAGACATACATGTAGGTCGTGTGCCGATTGCCCATTACTTAAAATCAAGCCAAACCTGTTCAAGATTATCAATTGTATGTAGCGGTTTAATATCCTACATTCTAAACCATTCTTGTCCTTTCTAGGCAAACTCTTACCTCTTTGGTGTTCATTTTTCCTTGCAAATGATTGTTTCAAGTTTTGATTTAAAGCTGATACTCAAAGATGCCAAAAAAATGACTCAAATTATGATGGCATACATGTAGTTCCAATCAGATTGAATTTAAAGGCACAAAAATGTCAATTGCTAGTCAACAGTGTCAAATATCATAATATCAAAAGAAGGTCCTCAACAAGATTTGATATATGTAGCTGTGACAAATGGCAAAAAATTGAAAAGTTAAGAAAATAGAAAGCAGGAGCAGTATGCCGTAAAATGCTGTCAACAAGCAATTGCCTTTTATTGAGACTCCTGGAGAGGTATAACTTAAAACTGAAAATAATATAATATCATCCAAGGTGACAATTGTGCAAGACACAGTCCAGACACAGGATAATTTTGGAATTAGAAATTAAAAGCTGAACAGAAGCCATTTTTAAACACAAAACTGAAAGTTTCATGTAAATACATAAAAAGCATCTGAAACGTTAGCTGCTCAATCATGCCTGTTAAATATGTAGCACAGACAAATTATTTACATAATACTCACTGTCAAAATAAAGTAGTTTCAATATCAACTTAAGTATATGTTGTATTTGATTCCTAAAAATATTTTTTCAGACATCTTGTATCAAATTTAGGGCAGTTTAAGAACAGACAATCGGATATTCTACATGATCTTTTTGCATCTTCGAAAGAGGTGATCATTGATGTCATTACATCTAATAAAAACGCTCCAGTATATATTTCCCTCATAAGAACACGTGTATACACTTTCATTTCAACCTTGCTAATATATTTCATCTGATTTTCCCTTGTCTTCGGCATTGTTAGCGCCATACTTAAGATAATTATGTAGTTCTAAATAATCTCGAGGCTATTTTGGTAGAAAAAATTCCAATCATTCATCGTTTAACGACTAAATTGAAAGCAATCGACAACTTGTCAACGTGCGGTTTTCTGCAGATGTCGTTTCAGCGACACCATGTCAGTGTAGAAAAGTGTTCGCTTCCTTGAGCGTTTTAGCAGAATTTCGCCAAACACGATGTTTGTAAAATTATGTGCATGCTGTTTTGTGTGCAAACAACCATTCATGAATCATTAACAGCTGGGAAGTCGACTTTTCAATTGGCTTGATTCAAGCTCCTCTGATCCACTCAGGGATGAATCGCAATACTTACAGCGCATTTGCTAGATTAAAAACGCAAGCTTTTAATGCTAGCCATAAAAATTACTCTGAATTTCAGCCGTGCTAAACATTCGCGTTTCATTGAAATCAAAGGTGTCAAGTTCAATTTAATATATTACTCTCATATTTCATTTTTGCTTAAATGGCGGTTTGTCTCAACCTCGCGCTATGGGTGTTGACTATAGCTGTGCTTGAATATAATCTTGTTTGCTGCCGCGATAATGTTGAAGAGATGCGCACCTTTTAAAGTAATATCGTAACGGTAGAATGCGATTAAAAGGGCATTCTCAAGACACATGGATGTTTAACAAAGTTCTTGTTATTATCGATCAGCTGGGCATAATTTGAATACAAACATAACTATATACACAACGCTACTAACTCATGATCAAGATCTTTCGAGATAAGTTATATCATACCAAACCGCGAAGAATACTGTGAAAACAAAGAAACAAATAAAGCCATTCGATAAATGTGATGGAGCGATTCGAACAGTAGATTTAAATATAATAGTCACAGAACAGAAAACTACAATTTACCTTTTGCCCAATGACTTCGCGAACTTTCGTCGCCTGCTCGCGAAATTTTTCCAGTTGGTTTTCCAGATATTTACATCTTTGTCTGTAGTCAATCTCATTTTCTCCGACTTCTGTAGAACACACTTGCGGTCCGTTAGTTCTTGACGAATTATCCATCCTTACTAAAACTTGAGAACAAGAAGTAGCGGTCAAATTTCCTGGGCGCGAGCGAATTTTTCTTCTGTCACCCGAAAAATCTCGCGTTCAGTGGCTAAACCTTCCTATCTGTCGCCCCGATCTAATTCCTATTTCAGTGGATAGAATGTTAAGCATCTTGTTTGATCCTCACATGACGGAAAGCCAGAACGGGCGAAACAATTCACACTGCGGTTTGACCAGTTCCGAGTGCAACATCGAAAAGTGTGCTAAGATTTTGACCCCACTTGTCGCTCGGCCTGTGATGTCATCTACGCGACTTCGGCGTGACAAAACTTCTTAATCTTATAACAACTTCACGAACAAGGCCAGCCATTCTTTGAAGACAAAAGATAACACAGTGGGAGAGTAAATATTGCCGCAAGAGGTCAAAAATAGCAAGATATACAATATGAAGTAAAAAAATTTGTCTCTCCACTTTAGTCACGAATCCTTACGAAGATCGTACGATTGATCACTTCGCTACATCGGCACTTTTCGCCCGCCTTTGCCTCAATATTCCCACTTCCGGTTATGTAGGTTAGAAGAAAAGACATTTCCGGTAGCTTGTATTGTTTTGGAGCCTCTCATCAGAAAGGCACTTGGTAGGTACGTGACTTCGAATTTTCAATTTATTTACTGAGGTGACCCATCCGATGACTCTGTTTGAAGGTATTTCCGCCATTTTGTGTGGGAAAATCTTGAAAAAAGAAGGGTTTACATATAAAAGTACATTACAAGAGAAATTGATTATTTCATGGCACGAGGTTACAATTTGTATCCTTTTCCTCGTTTAATTTGCGTTCGTTTCGTTTGTTTTTTGAAAAAACGTTTTTTTAGGAATAAGTTCAAAGAATAAGAGGTCATGAATATAATATCTTTGTTTTAAATCAGTACACATCAGTATAATCTTTCAGTTAATTGTCAAGTTCTTCCTTCTTAATTCAAAGTTACTAAGACCTATCACACTACACAGATTATGATATATTATTCCTTTTGTTTTCCTTATCCACTTATCCTTTCATATCTACCAAACGTCTGACCACAAAGACTGCAAAGGCACCGAGGACCAACATGAATAAAACATGGTCTCTTTTTTACAGTCGTTGACTCCAGTACTCCATGGGGCCTCAACTCGTGAGCCTGGTAACAGGTTGAATAATGCCTTCTGTTCGAAATGTAATTTTTTTTTCAGCCTGCTTGCCTTGCTCACATTTAGCCACGTTATTTTTCGAAAGGAAAATTTAATTTAGGATGAACTAAAAGCGGTCAACTCAGTGGGCCGTATCAATTTCCTAGATCTTGATACACTTCTATTTCCGTCACCGTTCAAAATTCGATCCGTTAAAATGAAAACGCGGATTACCTATCTTCATTGCAAAAACGGTATCCGCACTTAAAACTTTCTTATTAGTAATACTCCTCCTTAATTTCCAGGACTGGGATGAAACTTGAGAGATCGAGCTCATTCGTAGAGGTCCTTAGACAAATGAATTCGAAACTGAAAAAAGTACTTGTGATCTAATTATACCCTTAAATAACTTGACTAATTCAGTGACTTCGAGTTGGTAGGAAGTCTCTGGCGGAATCCGTCTCTTGTTCATATCATCAACATAAAATTGAGTTCTGACATCACTGTTAGTAATTCCGCCAGAGTAACAAGACCTAACAAGACAGTGACAAAAATCCCAGGAATGTTAAACTTGTGAGATAAATGATTTATAACCCTTATTTAATTGTGCTTTGACGTAGTGCTGCGGTTTGTTCGGATAATAATAATCTTCGATAAAAATAAAGTTCGAAAAAAAAGAGAAAGATCATTAATCATCTTTAAGTGAAAAGGAGCGACCGTTTTATCAACCTTTTCTTTGATTGTCCGTCTAGATACATCACGCTCCAAATTATTTGTTTATATAATTTACAAATTTCGGCCAATTATCATCGGGAGACTAATAAAATACCCCGTCGTCAAATCTATTACCCCCGCAAGATAGGATTATCGTGGTTTTCCGAGATGAACAAATCATATTTCAGCGGCACCTTTGTTGATACGCTTCCAAAATGTAAACATCGGTGATGATTTTGTTGTTAAAAACAATTCATCCCATTGTTATACAGATGATAGCGATTGATACATAATTAGGTTTTCGTGCGCCACGCTCCCAGAGTTTCGAGCGGTGCGCAAACATCATATTCTTTTTTCGCAGATTCTTTTCAATCCACGCAATGTACTTCGCCGAAAAGGAGTGATTGCTCGTACTCTCTAGTGAAATATACGGTCGACTTTAACGTTTGACAAGTACCCCAAAATAAAAATGCTCGGTGACAAAAGAAATAAATGATATGAAGGAAGAAGGTGCTCCCCCCCTGACCCGGTAACTCTGACTAAAGAGAGGATGGCTAATCTTGGTAAAATATGAAATTCACTGACTAGGGAGAATCGCAAACCTGATCTTGAGAGATAAGGGACGTATTCAGATATTTATTGTGCTGGTAAAATCATATCAGTTTCTAAGTTTTCTGCGCTATCCGCTATCCTATTGTAAGTCACATAAGTTCCATGAGAAGAGAACGTTTTAGAAGCGGGCAATTAATATGATACGCTTATCGTTACTTAATGCTGTCACGTGGGATAGATAACAACAGAAGCATAGGTTATATGCTTCTAAATCAAGGAGAAAGTTTTTCTGAGCAGTGCGCCCTATCTGCGCATTGCTGCGCCTGTGCCCCGCTCCTAACCGCTGCTCAAGGGAATGAGGGCACCGGGAAAGAGATTGGTTTTCTACTCATCTGGCTTTTTGTGCGCCTTCCACACACGCTTGATTGAGATTTGTTGAAAAATATGACAATGAAAATAACTAGAGGAAGAAAAAAGGAATGACTTATTTCATATTAAGACCTGCTATACAATGCCCTAAAAATTTAGAAATTTAGATTTAAAGTTATATCTTGAGGGCCCGTAAAATTCTCGGGAATTTTGAGAAACTGACCTGAAGTCAGGGGTTTTCTCTTTTGGTTGGTGTAGGGGGAGGAGGACGGGGAGGAAAGAAGGGGGGGGTGGTTGCAAGAACGCGAAAGACCGCTGCTTACACTGTTCGCGCTTCCTGGTAACACTTGGTCGCAGGTTCGAGAAATACTCTTGCGCGCGGTAACCGGGGAAGAAACGGAGGCTAATCGCTTCTTCATGGACTCTTTGCATACAACAGCCGCATCGCTATGTAACTGTAAAGCCAACCCTGCGTGCTACACTCGACTGGTAAACGCTCGAGTGACTGGGATCGAAGCAGTAGAAGATAAGTAACACAATCAACTACGCATGATTGGAGGCTAACCGTTCCGGGAAATTTCCCTTTTGGTGGACTTTACTCTTGGTTCACCTCACTTAATTTCCTCTCGTTTTCGCAAGACCGTAATTCATTATTTATGACATTGAAGTCCCAGAGGACTTGTCTCGACTTCGTGGCAAGAACGGGTCCGCTCCGAAATAGCAACAAGTTTTCGACGGAATAGTAATCATGATCGGAAATCAAGTGCTACGCAAATTAATAATCCTTCTTCTTGTTCTGGAAACGACATACAGCTGCCCGAATCATCAACATGACTTCCGCGAAGAGGGATTCGGTGTCGCGACGATTTCTGTGCACAGTTCCGTCAAATGGATCACAGTAAACAAAAGCAGACTTATTGGAATAACTGTTTCTTCAAGCAAAGACCATGGGGCAGTGGAGATATCTAAACGGCTGTTAATCAAAAGTGCCGTAACAGTTTGTTCGAAATGTAGAATGGCGACAGGAATGGTTTTTATGACGCTCGATCAACTCAAACAAGTTACTGCACTAAGTCCTGTATTAGAACCGCTCCTTACACAGGCCATCGCTTCTCAATACCAACAGCTGACCTGAATCAGGCTAAGCGTAGAACTGTAACGAAATATTCCAGACCATTGATCAGTAGTGTACATTAATTCTCATTTGAGGACATTGCATTGCGGCTTTTTTTTAAAAAACTGGAAAGCTGTGATAGGAGACAAAAACGTTATAGCTAGGTTGATTATTCTAACTGTGTGCCTCACTTGGCTTGTTCAGAGACAATGGGGGACAATTTGCAGGCTACTGTGAAGTTATAAACTTAGGAGTTACACAATCTTCATTAATAGTACATCGACCGATACACGAGCGATGTTCTTAGAGTTTTTCCAGGAAAAAAGAAAGAATTGTGGACGCAAAGGCTCCTATATTAAGTATGATAAAAAAAGTCTATGACATCTGAACGATCCGAGGTCACCCATTATTATACAAGAAAGTTAACGAGCTAGAATTTATTAAAATTCTAGTTAATCGCAAGTACGAGTTGTCAGAAAAAAAAAGAATTGGAATTAATGTATTTTTAACCAACAGAGGTGGCTATTTATTTCTAAACGACATTCAGTGAACAATTTGCAGCTCTTCGGAGGTAACGAAATAATAAACAACATTTCATTCTAGATTTACTGACGAATGTCCCGCTAGTTAAAAGTTCAGTCTTGCGTTTTAAAGCTCATCCTTATGTTTTGTGTGGAAGAAATGTTGTCCACATTTTCGGCAATAACTGTCCTGTATCACTACCACATTGTCTTCAAGGTGAATCTCAACTGGCTGCTCTGTTTTCACAATATTATGATGTCCGTCAGGGCAAGGGTTGATTTTCTTAACTTGGTAGGAATCTTCAGTGAAAGTCACCCGAGAATGGACTACCTCTTTTTGGAATTCTCTGTATGTCTTGCGAACCTTGAGTCCTACGGCTCTTAACACAGACTTAACTGGTTTTTCCACCACCTCCTTGAAGACTTTTTTCACTGGTTTGAAGACGACTTTTCTTACAGCTTTTTCTACCTTCTTTAGAGCTCTGCGAACGAAACCGGAACTCTCGTCTGGTGCACAAACGATCAAAATAAAACAGACCATCGCGAATAGAACCCAGGTAGATTTCCTCATCTTGCAGTAAATGTGACTCAGTAGATCAGGAAAGAGTTTTTTATTCGAAGAAAATGTTAATCATTCAACTTTTATTCTCTTACTTCATGGAAAATTCCCATCGGGTGGAAATGACTCAGCTTCCGGTTTTTTGTAGCAAAGGTCACGCAACAGATATTACGTAAACTCCACGAATTGCTTTCCCTCGCTGATTATTTCTAGTTTCAAATCATTCTCTTTCTGTAAAATTATTTACAAGGACGAATCTCACTGGCATCATGCAAATTTTTTTCAACTAAGTTTTATTCGAAAGAAAAGATAAGCAACAGCTGGTTTGTGGGGTTAAACACTTCTTTATGTTATTTCTGGGAAAAATCCCTTACCGATCGAGCCTATTACTAAGCTCCTCGTTTATTAAAGGTCACGCAGCAAGTATTACTTAGTGTTACAATATGTACGTGATTACATGCGCCATCAATGTCTAACTAGACTGAGATCGAGTTACATCTGTATTGTCTTACAACGCTGTATGCTACTGAATGGTTGATAAAAACGGATCTTGAAACATGGTGGCAGCGAAATAGGATAACGAATCCTCCGCCTACCACTTACGGAGTCGAAAACAGTTGAAATCATCTTGGTGTAGTAATGTCCGACTCAGAAACGGCGCCTGAAGCGCCACCACCTGGCTCTTCGCAACAGACCCTAACACAACTGGGAGTTGTGCAACACCCGCCTTTTGGCGCGATGGCCGGGATAATGCCTCCTGGAAAACTAGTTACGACTGGGAATGTGGCGGACAACTGGAAAGTATGGAAACAAATGTGGGGCAACTACATGGTCATTGCTCAACTCGAGCTGAAACCGCCGGCGTACAAAGTCGCATTGTTTCTCCACTGTATCGGTGTTGATGCGTTAAAGATTTTTAACGGCTTCCAATTCGACACTCCAGACGATAGACATGATCTGGCAAAGATAATACAAAAGTTCGACGAATTCACCATCGGCGAACTGAACGAAACCTTTGAAAGGTACACTTTCAACTCCAGAACTCAGCAGGAAAACGAAAGCATTGATGCTTATGTCACCGCCCTTCGCACACTAGCGAAAACATGCAATTTTTGTGACTGCATGCGTGATTCGATCATTCGCGACAGGATCGTCCTGGGCATTCAAGATCACCGCACTCGCAAACGGCTTCTACAAGAACGGAGTCTCACCCTGGCGAAGTGTATCGATCTTTGCAAGAGTTCTGAGGCAACAAATTTGCAATTGAAAACGATCTCGGGCGCCCAGAACGAAGATGTTCACGCTGTGCAAGATAAACACCCGCCTTCCAGCCGCCGTGATGACAAGTCTAGGAAAAGCCGCGCGGGGAAGACGAAGACCTGTAAATTTTGTGGCAAAGCACATCCTTTCGAAAAAGGAAAGTGTCCAGCGTGGGGCGCGAAATGTACGAAGTGCGGTGGCAGAAATCACTTCGCAACAACCTGCACTACTCCGACCAGAAAAGTGTACAACTTGAGAGATGAATCCTCCGATGACAGCGACATGGAGTACATTACAAGCATTGTTGCACGACCGGACATGATACACGCTGTTACACAAGAACATGATTACCCAAGAGTAATCTACACTGAGATGCTTGTGGGCAAGGCAGAAGTGAAATTTCAAGTAGACAGCGGCGCCTCGGTGAATGTCATTCCCGCCGATCTTGTGGCTGATAAGAAGCTTGAGCCCACCACAAAGACACTACAAATGTGGAACGACACAACACTAAAGCCACTGGGTTCCTGTCGATTAATTCTCCACAATCCAAAGAATAAGAAGAAGTTCTCGGTGGAATTCCTTGTCGTTGATAGACAACTGACCCCACTCATTGGAGCAAAGGCAGCTCAACAGATGGGCCTAATTACTGTCAACACTCAAAACTTCACGATCGCAAAACCACCTGAACGATCAAGGGCAAAGGTTAAGAGCGTGCAGACGGCTGACGAAATAGTAGCGGCCTACCCAGAGGTGTTCCAAAGAGAGCTAGGAGCACTACCAGGAACAGTTCACCTTGAAGTCGAACAAGGCGCAACTCCCGTCGTCGCACCTCCACGCCGTGTCCCAACGTCACTCAAAGAGAAACTGAGGAAAGAACTGGATCGACTACAGCAATTGGAGGTCATAGCTCCAATCGATGAACCCACTCCATGGGTTAGCAGTCTTGCCGTGGCTGTGAAGAAATCTGGAGCGCTGAGAATCTGTATCGACCCCAGGCCACTTAACACCGCCCTGAAGAGAGAAAGATATCAACTTCCTGTACTTGAGGACATACTCCCGGAGCTCTCAAAAGCAAAAGTATTCTCGACAGTTGACCTCAAGTCGGGATACTGGCACTGTGTCCTTGCCCCTGAGTCCAGCGTACTCACGACCTTCGCAACACCCTACGGAAGGTACAGATGGATTCGTTTGCCCTTCGGTCTCTCCGCCTCGTCCGAGATTTTCCAGAAGCATTTAACTCACGCATTGGAAAGCTTACCTGGTATTCTGTGCATCGCGGACGACATCCTCATTTATGGCACTGGAGAGACCGACGAAGAAGCCACTGCAAACCACGACAGGAGTCTCCGAGATCTCCTACAAAGGTGCAAGAACCGCGGCATTGTCCTTAACCCAGACAAGATGAAGCTCAGGATGAGCGAGGTAAATTTCATGGGGCATCTCCTGACGAACAAGGGCCTGAAGCCTGATCCTGCCAAAGTAGAGGCGATCACAAAATTGCCGAAACCACAAGATGTGGAGGGCGTTCAGCGCCTCAACGGATTTGTCAATTATCTAGCCAAGTTCCTTCCGAAACTGTCTGAAGTCATGGAACCGATTCGTCGCCTGACTCGGAAGGACGCTCCATGGAACTGGTCTTCGGAACAAGACCAGGCGTTTGAAAACGTGCAGAGGCTAGTAACAGAAGCGCCTGTTCTACGTTACTACGACCCTTCCCTAGACCTCACCATACAGTGTGATGCGAGCCAGAGTGGCCTTGGTGCAGCATTACTTCAGAACGGCAAGCCTATAGAGTACGCAAGTCGTTCCCTTACCGACACAGAAACCCGGTATGCTCAAATAGAGAAAGAGATGCTGGCGATTGTCTTCTCTCTTGAGCGTTTCAACCAGTATACATTTGGTCGACATGTACACATCGAAAGTGATCACAAGCCACTGGAGACGATTCTACAGAAACCACTCGCTCGAGCGCCTCGACGCCTCCAGTTAATGATGATGAGGTTACAGAAATACGATTTCACTGTGCACTATGAGCGTGGCGAGAACATGCATTTGGCTGACATGCTGTCAAGGGCTTACCTGCCCTACAACGGAAAAGAAGTAGATGACTTCGAATCAGTCAACATGGTCCGTTATCTACCCATATCTGACCAACGTTTAGACGAAATAAGAGCAGAGACCCGGAAGGACCAGTGTCTGCGAGAGCTGTCAGATACTATTCTCGTAGGATGGCCTGAGAAGAAGGAGCATGCTCCAGCACTGATACACCCTTACTTCAGTATGCGCGACGAACTGACCGTACAAGATGGGCTGATTTTCAAAGGAAATTCCGTTGTGATACCAAAGAGCCTTCGCGCAGATATGAAGCTGAAGATTCACTCGTCCCACCTTGGAATAGAGGCGTGTCTGAGGCGTGCCCGTGAATGTATCTACTGGCCAGGCATGTCTGCAGAAATGAAGCACCACATCTCCGCCTGTGAAATATGTAGAGAACTCGACAGCACCACGCACCCAAAAGAGACACTAATGTCCCACGAGGTCCCATCCCGTCCTTGGGAGAAGATCGCCACAGACATCTTTACTCTTGATGGCAAAGACTACCTGGTCACCATCGACTACTATAGCAATTTCTGGGAGGTGGACAGGTTGCCGAACACTAAAGCCAGCACCACCATTCTGAAGCTAAAGAGTCACTTTGCTCGCTACGGTATACCTGATCAAGTGATCAGTGACAATGGACCACAGTTTACAAGTGACGAATTCGCTGTATTCTCCAGAAAATGGGATTTTGAGCACCTTACCAGTAGCCCTGGAAATAGCAAAGCCAATGGCAAGGCCGAGTCTGGGGTGAAGACAGTCAAGCGCATTCTGAAGAAATCAATCAGGGCTGGAACCGACCCATACCTCGCCGTACTCGACTATAGAAACACGCCGACACAAGGGACGACGACCAGCCCAGCACAACGCCTGATGAGCCGAAGGACCAAAACACTCCTTCCTACCACTCAAAGCCTACTACTACCCAGGACCATAAGCCTGGAAGTGGAAAAGAAAGAGCTGCGACAGCGCCAGCAGGCCCAAGCAAAGTACTACAACCGGTCCGCAAAGGATTTACCCAGTTTGTCTGAAGGCGATGTTGTTAGAATGAAGCCATTCAAACTTGGAGATAACTCTTGGCGCAAGGCCAAAGTCACTGCAAGACTCGACGAGCGATCATACACCGTTGAGACGGACAACGGAGCAGTCTACCGCAGAAACCGACAGCACCTGCGGAAAACGTCTGAACCACCAGTTGAACCCACCATCACAGCGCCAGAACCGGATATGGCCAGCACAGATGAACAGGCGACCACAACCGCAGCGTCTACCCCTGACCAGAGCAATGCTCCTCACGAGCCACACCCTGAAGAGGTGACTGTTCCGGAACAATGTCGGAGGTCAGAGCGAGTCAGGAGGAGCCCAGCATACCTCAAGGACTATATCCGTGACTAGACTCGTGACTTTAAATCCTTCTTCGCGGTTATCATAGGGTTCAGTGTTCTCGTTTACCAATCCTCTCATGTCGAACTCACCAGCTGATAGATTTTGTCCTATGGCATTGATTCTGAACTGAACTGACATTGACACTTTTATTGGTTAATTTTCTTTTTTTTTCTTTCTTTCTTTTTCTCTTTTTTCCAAGCTTTTCTTCACCAAAAAAAAAAAAAAAAAAAAAAAAAGGGAGGATGTTACAATATGTACGTGATTACATGCGCCATCAATGTCTAACTAGACTGAGATCGAGTTACATCTGTATTGTCTTACAACGCTGTATGCTACTGAATGGTTGATAAAAACGGATCTTGAAACACTTAGATTCCATGAATTGCTTTGATTCTGTATTCACGCTGTTAAAGCACTTTCCTGACAATTTCCCCTTTCCGGTTGAAAACCGTCCGTATTCTGTGTCTATAAATCAAGGAAGGGTTTCCCTGGCATCTCCGGGACTCATTCTTGCCTTGACCTGCAAAGGGTTTGAACGCAAAGAAAAGGGTTTTTACTCTATGCATAGCATACATGAAGGCGGTGTTCTCTTGTTTTTCCTCATTCTGGGAAGTTTCCCTGAGGAGCCGTTTCCGGTTTATCAAGGTCACGCAACAGATCTTATGTAAATTACTTTCTCTTTTCAGATCTCATTGCCACAACAAGTTCACAGCAATGGCTTCTGTTTCGCTTTCTGAGTTTTGCTGGTTCAAAATTGTTCTTCTTCTATGCATATTTAGCCAAGGAAGGGTTCCAATGGCGTCTTGTGAGCTTGTGCCTGCAATGTTTGATCCTGAAACGAAGCAAGTTATCTACAATCCAGGACAAACCCGTACACAGAAAAAAGATTTGGTCATGACAATAGCGCAAGACGTGAAGACGGAAAAAAGCAGTCGAACAAGCAAATCAGAAGCTTTGGATTAAATTTAAGGTTTCAAAACAGCGGCATCCCTTCGTTTGGAGTGAATTATCAAAAGGTTAAAATTAACGAGCAGCGACAAGAAAGCCATCATCAGGTGAACATGGCCATTAACATACCAAGTGATTGTGACGAAGGCTGCAAGAAACACGCTGATAAAGTATTTCAGTTGGCAAATAACGCTCTTTACAGTGATGCAAAGCAAAAACGTCTCAACTGACGGAACTTGCAACTTTTGGTCAAGAAGGAGACTAAGGCAATACAGTCGCGTCGGTAGATAAAGATGCATGACATTTTCAAAGGGTTTTGTTCACCGAAATTTCGCTTTTACAATAATGAAACCCTTGCGGTATAACAGAGACAAACTTTTAAAATATCACGTAAACGATTCAAACAACACGGTTTGGATGGATGGAAAATGTAAATACACAGAGGAGACGTGGTCGGATTTGAATGGAAGCATCATAACTTTGTGTCAGGTCAGACTTTTGTCGCACAATTTTACAGATTCAAGGATGTAATGATACAGTACTAATTCCGGTTGGCCCTGTGTTGCTGATCACGTGAAGTCGGATTACACGTGCATTCGCATAAACGTGTTAAAAACGACTTTCATTTGTTGAGGTTTATCCAATTTGGTATCAAGTGTCGTTTACAATGTCAAAAGTCATTCTCACTTGTAACATAGGTTTTATTTCAACAGTAAAATACTCCAGCCCTGTTTTTTCTTCTTAGCAATTGGGTTGGTAAAGACCCGACGAAACACACGGCTTCGTTCAAATTATCTCGACTAAACTCCTACAAAGTGAAATTAATTACAAAAGCTAAAACTTTATGTCCGGGTAACATGTCCTTTTATGATATAAGTAATTAAAATGTAACCGATGACAATTAAAACTAATGGTCCAGTGACCCGTTCAACAAAATCTTTATTTGATAACAGAATATTATGATTGAATTTCTGGCCCCTTGTTCGATATATAGCTGGGCTCAGCTTCCTTATTGTAACTAGTCCTACAATGAGGTAAAAAATTAACTAGCTTTTATTCAAGGTACCGGAAACTCCAATCTGACTTAAAATAAAAACAGAATGGTCGAGTGACCTGTTGAACAAAATTAGTATTTGATAATTGAATTGTCCAGTTGTATCGCTGGCCCCATGATTCATATGTAGATGGGGTTAACTTCTGAAGTATTCTAAAATTCTACAATGACTAGCTAACCAAACGAACAATGTATTTTTTCGACGAATCGATTCCAAAGTTCGTTCCAGCCTTAAAAAGTCTAATATTTCAAGGCATCTCGCTTACAGAATGAAAAAACGTATACTGGAAAACCTCTGAAAAAAATGTTTATCCTAAATTTCTAGATATCGGTTATTTTTCTTTGTGAGAAGGCTAAAGAACCATTCTGGCTCATAAATCACGATGATACTGAACCTTTTCGTTAGATTATTCAAATGTTACTGACTCGTCCCAGTTGTAAAAACTTATTGCTCAGGTTGAGTAGACAATGGAGGGCTTCTCACGAAAATTGCTCGTAACATTTTAGTGCCAAACATGCCTGACTGCTAAAGATAAATCCTAAACACTATTAACTGCTTTGCTAAAAAAAAACGAAAAAAAAATTCGGTTATATCACACGAAATGTTCTGTTTCATACGGTACAGGCAAAGATGAAGGTCTTCAAAGAAGTCAGCTTCACTCAGGGTACAGGATTTGCTGATCAGTTTTGAACTTTGCAGATTATGTCTTCTTTCCTGTAAGATAAGATTTACTATATGAGCAAGGGAGTTGAAAAATCGTGAATTGATTCGTCGGTAAAGTAATTGTTAGGTCAATTCAATATAATTCTTCCAAGAATTTCTGCTGTTATGCCAGGTTTTGTCCCTGTGAACGTCAGATACTGCGAGGCCTTTAGCAAGGAAATTTGACGCGGAATTGAGAAAATTTACCCGCAGAAGCTCGATTTGAAATTCGGACCCTCTACGTCTGTCAGAAACTTACTGCCTGCCTTCATTTGAAATACTCTTCCATTTGTCTCGTTCGTCTTTCCAACAATAGCAAAATACATCAGGGAACTACATGAGATACAACACGAATCCTTCCTTTACCGTAACCAGCTTATATACTTTCCTTACTCCATAACATGAATTAAATGAGGGAGGAGGGAGGGGATGTGAGTCTAAAGCTACTTTCCCAAATTGTCTGAATTTGAGAAAATGCGCTACAATGTCTCCCTTTGCACTCTACAAACTTACCTCAGTGTGACATTATCTCCAATCAGCATGAACGTAGCCCATTTTTTCACTTCAGAATACTTGGGGTTACCTCTCATCCACTTTCTGACCTCGTGAAGAGATTCACTGGCACTCTCACCACGGAACAAGTGTTCGTAGAAACATTTCATGAACTGCTCCGTTGATTCGTCATCCACGTCCCACCGCGCCACTAGCACCGACCGAGCACCGGATCCTAAGAACGCTCGAGCGATTCCAATTACTCCTTCGACTTTAATCTCTCCGCGCCCACTGTGACAACAGCTTAGAACTACCAGTTTAGCTCGAAGTTGAACTTTTGATACTTCAGCCATCGTCAAAAGGTATTCTTCTTCTTGTGGAGTACTGTTAGTAGTCCTGACGGGGGACAGTGCTATTTCTCCTCTCTCGGAATCTCCATGAGCAGCAAAATGTATCAACGCAACTGACTTCATCTGTTCAAGAACCGCCTCCTTTGTTGCATCTTTCCCTAACAATGGGATGACGCCCAGCATTTTTCCAATCATCTCAGCTTCTTTTCTTGCAGCTGGTAATGGAACGAGGATCTGTTTTTTTCCCCTGTAAATCACTTCGCTCACCTCAGGTGCACCCACTATCAGTGCCCCAGTGTTACTGTGATAGTTTGAAGGACTATCCTGAATGACCTTAAGGACCGTCAAGGAAGGAACGACGCGCATCCTGAATTTTTCAGACAAATATCTTCCTCCTTCGTCAAGTAAGGCTGCAAATGGCACTTGGTACATACAGCTATCAGGGACAATGATGATTTCAGGCTCTTTCAAAAAATCGGCCACGGGAGCGATGATTATTTTGTGGAAAAAACGCAGACTTCTTTCCTTAACTTCAGTTTCATCATGGGGTGGAGGCGATCGCCAAACATCGCGAGGTAACGCTAGAACAGGTCCGTTATTTAAAGAGCGATCTTCGTAATTCTCTGTAGGTAGGATGGCAAAGTGTCGGAAACTCTTCGAAAAAAACTCTTTTAGGTTGGACACTGACCCTGCATTTCCAAAACTATCTGTCAAATCCATTCTCTTTTTGCGCCGGAAAAGAATCCCCCCACTTGTTTTAAGAACCCAAATCCGTACATCTTTATCATCGACCGAAAGGTAAAGAAAAGTACAATTTGCTTCTCTTTTAATGACATCATGAATGCTAAACAACGATTGTAAGAACTGAGGCTGATTAGCGGAATATTGAGCTCTCATCAAGTCCGCTAGAGCTCTTGCTCGTCTGAGTTCTTCAACGTAAAGGAAATCTTCGGGCTTCCCGGAAAAAGAAAGCAATTTACTGAGTATCTGATAGGAAAAGGCACCATGCTTCTCCATCAAAGCTATTTTGAAGTAATCATCGTCTTTCACGAAGTCTCGCAATTTTTCGAATATTTCAATAGCTCGAAGAAGAAACGAAGACGCTTCTTGGAAATTAGACTGAGCCAACTTCAAAACCGTTAGACCGCAAAGAGTTTTAAACTCACTCATATTATGTCCAATGACTTTGCAAATTGAGATAGCCTCGCTAAAATGTACTTCAGCTTTGTCAAGTTCACCCAGTAAATGAAACAATGATCCTAAGATTCCGTAGCCAGTTGCTTCTCCCTCTCTGTCGCCAATTTCCTTTCTGATTGCAAGTGCTTTCTCGGTGTATTCTTTAGCCTTTCCGTATTCACCTAGTGACTGAAACAATGCTCCTAAGTTTCTGTAGTCAGCTGCTTCTCCCTCTCTGTGGCCCATTTCCTTTCTGATTGCAAGTGCTTTCTCAGTGTATTCTTTAGCCTTTCCGTATTCACCCAGTGACTGAAACAGTCTTCCTAAGTTTCCGTAGTCAGTTGCTTCTCCCTTTCTGTCGCCAATTTCCTTTGTGATTGCAAGTGCTTTCTCGGTGTATTCTTTAGCCTTTTCGTATTCGCCCAGTGAACGAAACAATGTTCCTAAGTTTCCGGAGTCAGTTGCTTCTCCCACTCTGTCTCCAATTTCCTTTCTGATTGCAAGTGCTTCCTCCGTGTATTCTTTAGCCTTTTCGTATTCACCCAGTGACTGGAACAATGTTCCTAAGTTTCCGTAGTCAGTTGCTTCTCCCTTTCTGTCGCCAATTTCCTTTCTGATTTCAAGTGCTTCCTCGGTGTATTCTTTAGCCTTTCCGTATTCACCCAGTGACTGAAACAATGTTCCTAAGTTTCCGTAGTCAGCTGCTTCTCCCTTTCTGTCGCCAATTTCCTTTCTGATTGCAAGTGCTTTCTCGATGTATTCTTTAGCCTTTCCGTATTCACCCAGTGACTGAAACAATGTTCCTAAGTTTCCGTAGTCAGTTGCTTCTCCTTCTCTGTCGCCAATTTCCTTTCTGATTGCAAGTGCTCTCTCTGTGTATTCTTTAGTCTTTTCGTATTCACCCAGTGAATGAAACAATGTTCCTAAGTTTCCGTAGTCAGCCGCTTCTCCCTTTCTGTCGCCAATTTCCTTTCTGATCGCAATTGCTTTCTCGGTGTATTCTTTAGCCTTTCCGTATTCACCCAGTGACTGAAACAATGTTCCTAAGTTTCCGTAGTCAGCTGCTTCTCCCTCTCTGTCGCCAATTTCCTTTCTGATTGCAAGTGCTTTCTCTGTGTATTCTTTAGCCTTTCCGTATTTACCCAGTGACTGAAACAGTGTTCCTAAGTTTCCGTAGTCAGTTGCTTCTCCCTTTCTGTCGCCAATTTCCTTTCTGATTGCAAGTGCTCTCTCTATGTATTCTATAGCCTTTTCGTATTCACCCAGTGAATAAAACAATGTTCCTAAGTTCCCGTAGTCATTTGCTTCTCCTTCTCTGTCGCCAGTTTTTTTTCTGATTTCAAGTGCTTTCTTGTAATATTTCTCAGCTTTGTCGTATTCCCCTAGCGACTGAACGACTGTACCTAGGTTTCCGTAAATGGTAGCTTCCCTAATTCTGTCACCATAGGACACCGTGATTGCCAGTGCGTTCTCGAAATACTTCTTAGCTTTGTGATATTCACTACGCGAATAAGATAAATTTCCCATCGCTAAGTAACATTTTGCCTCCGTTTTTTTGTCAGCAGTACATTTCGTCATATCAATTGCCTTCTGATAATATTGTTTTGCCTTTTCAAATTCATTTTGGATCTGATATATCTTTCCCAGTTCAAAAGTTATCATATTTATTGTTCTTTCTTCTACAATTGTGTCACTAGAGGCATGGTACATATCGAGAAGTTCCTTGGCATATCTTTCTGCAGATGTGTAACTGGAAGCCATGCAAGCCGCCTTGAACATTATCGTTTTGATTGTCCTGGTAAATAGGAAACAGGTCTTCTTTTCCAGCTCCTTCGATTTTAGAAAGATCAAACATGCTTCGACTAACATCATGGCTTGTAACCCACGACCAGTGTTCAGGAGGAAGGTGGCAATCTCTAACCCTATAAGTATCGAGGAGATTGTTCCAAATTCTTCTACGTTATCCATTTTCGACCTTTTGTCGATTGTTCGAATGAAATGAATGACACAGCGTTAGGATTTAATTTAACTCTGTTAGATCCGTTTGCAGCCACTTGATTCAATACTTTTCACTTTTTACAGGAATGTGCCAACTATTAAATGTATAGCCAGAGTCAACGCCACAGAGAAGTTTGCCATAAGTTATCCTGAGTTATCCATTACGAACTTCTCCCGATTGTTCGAGTGAAATGAATGACACAACTTTAATCTGAGGATTTAATTCAACTGTGTTAGATCCGTTTGCAGCCACTCGATTTAAGTTTCATTACTAAAGAAATGCGGTTGATTCTGTAGACAGGTGACTCACCAAAATTTCCTTCTGTCCAAATAGGTCATTAGCCTGATGTATTTGGTTCCGCTTGACTTACTCAGTCTTCTATATCATAATAATTCATGTTTTAGAAAGTTTTTGTAATTAGCGAGGAATTAGGGATCAAATCAGCCGATGAATTCTGGTATTTGGTTAAAATCAAAAGAAGCTGTGAACATGATAGACTAACAGTTTGACAAGAACAAAATTACTTACAAGAACTGTCTCAAATTTCTTGGCCTCGTGATTGAAATCCAGATAAAGGCGATGCTGAGGCACTACTTTCCCTTCGAAAAAAAAGCAGGTTGTTTCATTAACAAGTTACAACACAAAACACCTATCATGAATTAGAAAAGAGAGAAATTCTTCAGCGTAATCAAGGTCTTAATCACATGAACATGAAACTCGAGGCCCAACTCCGACGCAAATCTATGTCTAGCCTCTATCAGCCAGCCGCTGGTCGGGAAACGAACTCGCATATTGAAAGCTAGACTGGAGCATTTACGTACATATCACTAAGATAAATCAGATTCTCTGAAATTTTTCTTTTGACTCGCTTGATGCCACTGTTTTCCTTCCACCGTAATTATTTAGGCGACCACAACGTGGATATTGGATATTTATCAAGAAAATGGCTTATAGTGGCTAGAAAAAGCGGATTCTGGCACATTTGAAAACTGGTTTTTTTTAAGGCAACACATGAAATTTAACCTTGATTTCAAGTCAACCTTGAAATCAACCTTGATTTCAAAAAACAGTTGCTGAACATTTTCAAATTAACCTTGATTTCAAGGGAACTTGAATTTTCACAAGTAAATAATATTCACAATTTCTTACTGGTGAGTTCTGGCGAGAGTGTGAATATTATCCTCTTGCACGATTCTCTTGTCGCGCCAGAGGGATGTTAATTGTTTGTGTGAAGATTTTCAAATATCAATGTTGCATCTGCTCGCAAAGAAGTCGTGGTCTGCCTTGATTTGTTCTTCTGTCAAAATAGTGTCTTTGTAAATGAAAAGAGTATGACACCTGATTCATCCTTCTAGCTAGAAAAAGAAACTCATTTTTCATTAGTTTTTTTTTTCAAATCAACAAATTTCTTCAGGTGGTAACTCAGTTTCAGGTGAGGAACAATCTTAAAAGCTAGTGTCAGCATGCATCAGACAAACAGCGGCAAGTTACCCAAAATTTGCTTTTGAGGACCTTCTGAGACCCGGTTGGATCTGTGGCTCACCTCTGACCACTTTCCAGTTCATCAGCGGCATAGAGATACCTCACATTATTTGACGAGTCGACTCTCTTTTCCAAGATGTTGAATAAGTTGTTGAACTCTTTGCGTCAACCGACTAGTCTTTGATTGCATCCACAGGTTTCTTTTTAGTCAACCTGGTCACTTCACTATTCAAAGCCAGTAAAACTTCTGGAAGCCTACCTATCCATTCGGTTGATCTCTTTCCCTCTATGAAGTTTATCTCTCGACTATGTTAGAAAGTGAAGAGGCGGTCACCTAAAGTTCGATTGCATCGCTCAGCGATTCCCTGATCGCTGCGAACGTTCACACTCCCTCTTCTTATCCTCACCTCATGCTTTGTCATTTCTCTTGAGAAATCACCCATGAATTCACGCCCAGGATCAACTTGAAGAAATTTTGGCCGTCTCAGTCGTCCACGCTTATGGATTGCCTGAAAAGCGTTTGAGACCTCAAAAGAATACTTTTAAGTGAGAGGTTCAGCAACCTTGAATCTGCTTGCAACATCAACAACTGTCAATGCATACTTGGAGACTTTCTTACCTCTCGGGAGCCTGTGATGAGCCTGTCATTGTTGTTTGCATGACCATTAACTGCCAAATCAAAGATGAGTGAAAGAGGTATTGGCACAGGGACAAGGACAACTCCGTCATCACTCTAAGGACTTCACCTGGAGATGCCATTTTTAGGGTCAAATGTTGCTCTGTGAATTGTGCGGTCAGCCTTGCGGGCGTTTGACCCCTTTTTTTCAAAATTTGGGTTGGTCTTTTAACTGACTTCCATTTTAAAATAATAGATATTTTATTTAAAATGGCTGATTTTGACTGATCCTCTTTTGGAACACAATGACGATGATGATGATGAAGGAAATACAACAACACTTTTTAAACCTGATTATGATTCAACTCCAGGGCCATCAGGTGAAGAAATTCCAATGACGTCAATGAACAGAAGACAAGAGAAAGCATCGGAAATTGGTGAAACATCTTTCATTGAAGGTGATACTACTTATTCGCGAGTCATCACTTCAAATGAGAGGGCATGGGAATTGCTTACCAGAATTTATCCTGAGGCAAAATTTTCGGAATTAGAGGTTTCTTATGGTAAAACAGGAAGGTTGCAGGTAAAGATGTTTGGTCAGGGTAAGAAGACATATCCCTTGTATACTGAAGAAAAGGGTACGTATAAACAAAGTTTGAATCCATCCCTCCCAAAACAAATATATAACTCACTTGGCCCAGGGTGAGAGGTTTTGATTGCTAAGAAGGAGAGAGAAATTGAAATTGAAAGAAAGAAATTCATCGACAATCCCCTTATCCTCCTAAATGTTAGGAGAAAGGGGGATCGCCGATGCTGACGATAAAGGCCTTGCTTTTAGCAAAGAAAGAGGAAGAGAAAGGATAATAAAAAATCAAGAGCGGATTGTTGCTCTTGAAAACGAGAGAGAAGAACTTGAAGAGGGCACTTCAATATGAGAGAGAGTGAGAAAAATTTTCAGCTAATACTATTTCACAGTCTCAGCTGTTGTCCTGGCAGTCGAAACAACGATTGGAGTGATTGTGAGTGGATTGACAAGAAGCCTGAAGTCTGTTGCCAAAGGAGTTGAAAATGGTCTTAAGACTCTTGGAGGTAAGATCGCGCGGGAATTCTCCCAGGTCTCATCGGTTCAATAGTCGGCTTCATTTTCAAGACTGCTGAATCAGTGATCACCTTACTCGGTCAAAATGCAGGACTTATGGTAATGGGAGTTGCCATATTTGCGGTTGAGCGCTTTCAGAAGAACAAGCAATGAATAAAGAACGCTGAGACCAGACCAGCTGAAATCAATCCGACCTTTACCATATCATGATTTGTCTCGCTGTCTCTCGTGCTTGAGCCGCGAAGCGGCCCCTGCCCAGAAGGGCTTCGCTTTTCACCTGATGATGATTTTGTCTTCACCTGAACTTCAGTTGAAGTCTTGTTAATTTTATTTGAAGGCTACGCCTCCTTTCATGTGCCCTACTCCGACTAATTTCATCTCAAAATTCACTGATTTGTTGACTCCGAGCTTCATATCAGAACTTTCCTTCTTCAGGCTGTTATTATACCCAACCGCACTCTGGGTGTTGATGTAACGATAGGATTTTTAAGTTATCAAGTTCTTTCATGCTAGCGCTTAAAATATATAAAATTCAACGTAGAAAGCTTAGTTCAGCAAAGCGTAAACGCTACCAGTTCTCCTTCAGTCACCCGTAAACAGTTGTTATTAGTGTTAAACTGTAACAGCCACATGTCATGTCCTTTTGTGTAGTTGTTATCCACCGGAACTCTTTGAAAGTAATTAATGTTGTAAAAGGCGAAATTCCTACCTAGCCAAAGTGTAGTAGATAACATGATTCTTTAGATTATTCATGGCATTACCTTATCCATGTACGTTAGGCTTAAATAGAACTGTTTTGTAAAGCTTAGAGGAAGAGAGAGACGAAACGAAAAGAGAAAGAGAAGAGGGGGGTCGAACCAGCCCTGGCCAGGTCAGTTCTGGTCAAAATTGTAGTAGAGCTTGCAGAATAATTCTACGTTGGAGCCAACCCTGTTGTTGTTAGTCATTGTCTCAAGGATAGTCAGCAGCCGTAATAGATTCCGATCCTTCCCGCAGCCAACGAGTGCCCCCAAGGAAAGCCTTTACCCAGAAGGAGTTTTTAAGAGTTGTCCCCGTCCGTCCGTTTATTTGTGAAGGCAAAACCTGTTTTCACATTAAGAAGAAGATTCTGGGGCATAAGCCAAGTGCCTGGTGAGACAGCAAGATCAAGCCGCATTTTTCCTCATCAATCGCAAGCTGGAACGTCTGAACGCTCTTTGAAATGTCTGGCTTTCTGATCGCATCCTCAACTATTACAAGGAAATCACGTTGTGCTTCCTTTGCGCTTCCTAATGAACCCAAGGTTGATGATCTGACATTGACTTGTGCACCGAGAATGCAATAGACGAATGCCTCAATCGACTGATTCGGTCTCACCATCCCAGCTTGCGTCAGACCTTCTGATTTGTCTGCCATGAAGAAGTCGAATTGCCTCTCAACTTTCGCATTATCACTTCTTATGAAATAAATAAGATTTTCTTCGATGGCTTTTCCACCCTCAACCGAACTTGTTATAACCCGCATATGAGTCTGAAGTTACTGAAGGACCAACATCTGTCACATAATTGAAAACAGGTCTGAGACTGTGATTATCACCCTCTTTGAATCGGAAGTCCGCGCTTGATGAAATTCCAAATTCTGCACCATGATTCGTTTGAACGATGGCGTGTCACAATTATTATTATCCGGCTGAAAGTCGGGTCACCTGGAATAGCCGATTCTCTCTGAATTACTCCGATCTCAAGAAGAATCCTTCTGACTGTGAAGTTGATGTGAAACATCAGAAACAACTT